TATAATATACAAGGTCCTATTTATTTATTTATTTATTTATGGTCCTGGTGCTTGAATACAAGGCCTTCACACTGAACTACCTCCTCTGCAATTTAAAAAAAAATTGCCAAATTGCTTGGGCTAAGGATTGAAGTTTCGTTTTGTTTGTTGAGACAAAGTCTCCCTGTTCAGGCTGAATTTGAACTCATTTTGTAGCCAACGTTGGTCTCGAATTTGCAGCATTTCTCTTGCCTCAGCCTGCCGAGTGCTGGGATTATGAGTGTGGACCACGCTCCTGGTTTGGGTTTGGAAAGTTTGATCCTCTGGCTCAGGTGCCTGGACTGCTGGGTTGACAGACCTACGCCACCACAGCCAACCAAAAGGTGCTTTATGTCTGTCTCAATATAAATGGGCGGTACTCTGGGGACCTGGAATCTGTTTTTTAACTTCTGTCTGGTTATTTTAAAGCCTAGATTTGAAAGAAAAACATTGTTTTCAGTTTTGTTTTCATCTGAACCAGAGGTAATGGGTGGCATCCTCTGACTTTCTCTTAGCAGTGTGATGGCTCTCAGTAGCTGTTGGCAGGTGCTGTCAGCTGTCACTTGGTAAGAGGACAGTGTCACCTTCCGAGGCTTCTGTTCTGCCTCTTGGTGATGTAGCGGGAGTGTGGGGACAGTGACTGGCTCTTCTCACAAGGTGGTTTTGCAGTCCCAGGGACGCCTGTTAGCTAAGCGCGCTGGTGCTCCTGGGATCCTAGTATTAAGGAGGCCGAGCCAAGGGAGCCAGTTCGGAAGTTCAAGCCCAGGCTGGGCAGGTTAGTGAGACCATGTTTCTAAAGTGCTTGATTTTTTAAGTCAACTAAAAGCAAGTGAAGCTAGAGTGAGGGTTTTCCTCAGTTTCACAATGAGGGAGTCACCACGGGGGTTTATGTGTTTCCCTGAGGGAGCATTCAACCACTGCGAAATCAGCATGGAGATTCCTCAACAAACTAAGACTAGAGGTTCCATTTGACCCAGCTATCCCCCTCCTGGGTATCTTTCCCAAAGAATTAAAAGCATCACCTGTAATCCCAGCCCTCAGGAGGCTGAGGTAGGAGGATCGTTACAAGTTCGAGGCCAAGCTGGGCTACAAAGTGAGCTCAAGGCCAGCCTGAACTGCAGAGTGAGACCTTGTCTCAAAAAACCCAAAATAAATAAATAAATACACACCATACCACAGCGATATATGCACACCCATGTTTACAACAGCACAATTTATAATAGCTAAATCTTGGGAATAGCCCAAATGCCCACCAACTGGTGGATGGGTAAAGAAGATGTAGATTTTTTATACCATGGAGTACTGTTTTACCCTAAAGAAGGGTAAACTTGACACTTCTAGGAAAAGGGTAAACTTGAGATTTCTAGGAAAATGGATGCACCTTGAACCCACATTCTTTCTTTCTTTCTTTCTTTTGTTTTTTTTGAGACGAGGTCTCGCTATGCAGTTCAGGCAGGCCTTGAGCTCACTTTGTAGCCCAGGCTGGCCTCGAACTCGCAACGATCCTCCCACCTCAGCCTCCTGAGTGCTGGGATTACAGGCGTGAGCCACCACGGCTGGCTGAACCCATGTTCTTAAGTGAAATAAATTGAATACACGTATAAATACTGCATTGTGTCTCTGGTGTGAGAAGTTGGAAGTGGAAGTAAGGATCAAAATGTTTAATAGGTGTTGTGAAACAGGAAGAAAATGTTCAAATGGAGTGGAGAACAAGGGAAAGGGGAGGAGGAAAGGAAAGAAGGGAAAAGTTAAAAACCAGTAATGAGAAAAGAAGGAAAACATGGAAACAAAGCTTTGGTAAATGGGGAGGGGAGAAGGGTTGAAGAGAGGATGGGAGAAAAGCTGTATCGTGTACGAATTTTCTATGATGAATGTAATAATTCTATATATATCTAAAAATGTACCAATAAAATTGATTTAAAAAATCAAGCACCATATATTAATAGTATTTTTGTACTTTCTTATGATTAATTTTAATTTTTTTGAGATAAGGTCTCACTGTGTAGCTTAGGCTGCCCTTGAACTCACTGTATAGTCCAGGCTGGCCTCAAACTCATGGCGATCCTCCCGCCTCTGCCTCCTGAGTGGTGGGATTTCAGGCGTGCACCACCACGGCCCAGGGAGTGGTTTGGTTTTTTGAGCTAGTGTCTTGTTATGTGATCCAGGATGGACTTGAACTCACTATGGAGACTCTGCTAACCTTTCACTTGTGGCGATTCTGCCTCAGCCTCCTGAGAACTGGGACTGTAGGTGTCTACCACTGTGCTCCACTGAGAGCCCGCATTTTGACATCTGCCCAGCAGCAGGCGGGGGATGGCTGGTCAGCCACAGTGAACAGTGGTTTGCAATGCCCACTGTTAAATAAACACCCAGTGGTCGTTTTCCTCCCAGTTTCCAATCTCTTCAGAGCTAGAATTGTTCCAGAGAACCTTCCAGAAGACTGGCATGAGGAAGACTTGTCAAGTCTTCAAGCCTGGAGAGGAGGAAGGGAGATGAACTCTGCGTTGACTGAGTCTGGAGTTTTAAACCAGATTCGGCTGAGTTTGAAAAGAACCCAAAGGACACAGAGTGTTACATACCGTGACCATGATACTGGAAAAGGCACATACAAGACATCTGTCATGACTGAAGTGTGATAGATGGCAAGTTATATTTATACCTAAATTCAATTCACATAGACATGTCAAATTTATCACTAAATCCAACCCTGAATCTATGGTTCCCAACTTTCTCTGCAGTCAGAGAAAGATTTTCTTTCAGTTTTCTTTCAGTTGAATTCTTTCATCTACACCCTTGTGTATCCATTGAGAAAATATTTATTTGACATCTAACATGTATTGCTGCCTGGTGTGGTGGCATAGCCTGTAATCCCAGCACTCAGGAAGCTGAGGCAGGAGGATGCCATGAGTTTGAGGTCAGCCTGGGCTACATAGTGAGTGCAAGGCCAGCCTGAACTGCAAAGCAACACCCTGTGTCAAAAAAAAACAAAAAACAAATCATATATATATATATATATATAGCCAGTGTTGAGGCCAAAGATGAAATAAGGTAAAATTCCTTTGGTCATGGAATACACAACCTTGTGGGGGAGGTGGAAAAGTAATTACCAACTTTAAAACTAATCAATTAACTGAAGAATTATGAAAGATAGCCTGGGAAGGCCTCAAACAAAGGGAGTTAGCAAGCAAAGGAAGAGAACGTTTTGCTGATGGGCTACACGCGGGCCTGGAGTCACACGGCCTAATTAGGGAGTCACGGATAGGTCTGTAAGTGTGGGAGCACACGTGAGTGTTGAGGAGCCTGCAATTTCAGGTGCCAGAGTTCTTGTTCTCTATTCTGTAGGCTGGTGGCTCGAGACAGCGGTATGGCTTCTCTTCAAGGGGTGTTTTAACCATGAGTGGGCATTTTGGTTTGCTACAGTGTTGAGAAGTGGGTGCCACTGGCATTTTAGCAGTCGGGGAGCACAGATGCTAGACTGCAGTGTGAAAACAGTTCTACATAATTACGAATGTATTTCATGAATGAAGAAATTTTATCTTGTTACTCTTTGTACCTAGACACTGGCAACACACTTTATTTTTTTAATTTTAATTTTTTATTTTTGTTGAGACAGGGTCTCACTTTGCAGTTCAGTCTGGTCTTGAACTCACTTTGTAGTCTGAGCTGGCCTTAAACTCACAGTGATCCTCCTGCCTCAGCCCACCAAAGGCTGGAATTATGGCGTGCACCACCACACACAATTTAGATGTCAAATAAATGCCCTGAATTCTGCATAATTTAGATGTCATGAATTTTACTAGATATTTGTATGTTCTCCCAGTTGTGTTGAGTGTTATAGACAAATAAATCTAATCTATTATCCTAACACTAGTGTCTAGTATTTTTCTTATGGAGTGGCTTCTGATCTTATGCTCCTTAAATTATAACTTACTAAATTCTCATAATTAGGTAGAAACATTTGAGCACTTCCTTAAATCTTCTTTGTATAGTCATATCCAGGCATTTACATATCATATTACCAATGATTTTATTATATTATCCTTTATTTTTTTATTTATGTATTTTCTGGTCTTTTTTGAGACAGAGTTTCACTACACAGTTCAGATTGGCCTTGAACTCACTTTGTAGCCCAGGCTGGCCCCAAATTTGCAGCAATCCTCCTGCCTCAGCCTCCTTTCCTAAGTGCTGGGATTAGAGGCATGTGCCACTATGCCAATACTTTTTTGTATTACAGTTAGGACATTTTATCACTGTTTTGAAATTACAGTGTATTATATATGACTTTCATTTTAGGTTAGTGAAGCTGCTGTTACAATATACTTACTAGAAGAAAGGAGTCTTAGGTTTGTCAGCACTATGTAGTCCTTGATTTTCAGTGTTAATCTGAGCCTCAGAGCTCACATTTTGTGTTTATGAACTTCCTGTAATAATATCTGCCTCACACAGTTGGAATAATTAGTTGAAATCTAATTATTACCTTGTGTAAATTTGTACATTGTTAATAGTATATATAACATATTACACATTTCATAAATTGAAGTAAGCTGAGGTTGTTGCATGATGATTTCATAAAGCAGATTTTTAATTATTTTATTAAGTAAATCACACCAGGTGTGAAATAAGTTACTTTATTTTTTATGCATGAATTTTTTAGTTTAATGCTTTTTGTTGACTTGCAAAACTTTCCCATTGTATTTTTTATTTTTTAAAATCAGGTTATTGAAATACAATATATGTGAAGTACAATTCAACTTTTTAGTATACTCCAGATTTTTTTTTTTTGGTACCGGAGATCAAACTCACAACCGTGTGCTTGCCAGGCAGGTGCTTATGCCACTGAGCTAAATCTCCAGCCCTTTGTAGTCCAAATTTTTAAGAAGAAAATGTGTCACCATTGTATTCTGGCTGCCCAGATTATACAGAATTCTAGCATTGGCTAAAACACTCCCATTCCTAATGCTGTGCTCCGCCTTTCACAGAACATGAACGCGATGGGGAAATTCGGGAAGCCCACCAGTGTACAGCGCCTGGATTGCTCTTAAAAATTCACTAGACCAACGCTTCACGACCTTCCGCCAGCGCACCGGAAGACATAATGCCCTAGAACAATTTGTTACACCAGGACTTGGCACAAGCGCAGGATGTGCTATTGTTTTCTAAAGTGAAAGGAGGACTGAAGAGAGCACACAGGTCATTCTCAGAAAGATCATTTCTAGGAAGGAGAGCGTGTGTGCGTAAGTTGAGGGTTTGGAAATGGATTTCCTTAAGATCATCTGTTTCCATATCTTTGGAAAACTTTTTTGTAGGACCCCTGCCTGAAGGCCACTACCCGAGGGGTGCCCGAAGGTGCCGCACAGGCTTTGTCTGAGAAAGTAGGAAGAGGAGGGGGAATCTGGAACCAGGTCTGTTGCTTCATCTGGAGCTCCGGGGCATGTTTTTAAAGCTTTATTTTCCTGTTTCACATTTAAACTTTTATTTGATGGGAGAGTTTTGCTGCTAAAAATAAATCTGAAGAAACACAGCTTCCATGAGGAGCCATTTAAGGATTTTAAGCAGGGAAATGACATAATTAGGTTTTTGTTTCAAAAAATTGCTTTGGCATCGGAACACATGGCTCAGACTGAATAGGAGGAAGACAAGACTAGAGATTCAAAGCGAGGCACATGGCGCCTGCCTTTAGTCCTGGCATTCGGGGTGGGGAACTGGGGCAAGGGGTTCACCACAAGTTAGAGGTCTGCCGGGCTACTGGTGAGTTCAAGGCCAGCCTGGCTTACAGAGTCAGACCCTGTCTCAGAACAAACAAACAAAATGAAACAAAATAAAAATAAAGACCGGACACGCAGAAACTTGCCAACTAACCAAAGGAAACAATTTCTTGGCACTGCAGCCCTGGGTTCCATCCCAGGATGGCAGCGTTCACTTTCATTGAAGCAAGGACTTCCTGGATTGCCGTCCTGTCCAGCAAGCGCAGGCTTACAGTAATGTTTGACTCCTCTCCATCCTGCATATCCAAGCTGCCCCACATCTTGTTGCTTCTTTCTTTCTTCAAACTGTCTCTCTTACACTCATCGTCCCCCATCAGGCACCTTACATTTTGCGTTGAGCTTTCTGCAGGAACTTCAGGGACTCCTGCTTTTAGTTCCTTTGCCAGCCGGCTCTTCACGGCCACTGCTTTGCTATTCATGACACACTGCCGCAAACGCAAAATCAGTAGCTTGTCAAATCTTATTTCAGATTTCTGTATCTCTTCTCAGTCTGAGTAGAGCAGAAAGTTAAAATGCGATGACTACGTTTTTATTCTCTGGGCCACGTTTCCTTTGTTTCTTTCTGTGTGAGCTGTTTGAAAATTTAGCAGGACTTAAAAGGCAAGGGAACATCTCTCCGTCTTGCCGCCTGCCTCTTGCCGCGTCTCAGGGAAAGGTTTTGTGATGAAAGTGGAATTTTAGATGGAGTGGAGAAGAGACCATAACAGAGAATATTATGCTTGCGATTTTATGCTATCAGATTCTTCCTGTGAGTGGCAAGTAAACCCTGGGGCTGGTGCTAATGGGAAGGAGGACAGGGGAAGGCAGGGAGGCAGCCCCTGAACCTGGGGAGACGGGCCGAGAGTGGGGAGCCCGGGGCGGCAGGCCTAGGCCTGGGGGGGCAGGCCTGGAGCTAGAATCGTTCTAAAAGTACTTCTATTTAGCATAATTGTTTTTTTTTTTTTTTTGTCTTTTTCATTTTTATCGGTACCGGGGATCGAACTCATGACCACCTGCTTGTAAGGCAGGTGCTTATGCCGCTGAGCTAAATCCCCAGCCCCTATTTAGCATAATTGTTTTATGTATTTTATATGCTTTTTTGGTCTATAGCCTGTCTGTTAATCTAGGTTTTTGATAATGAACTTGATAAAGACTTAAAAAATAAATCTGATTCCTGCCCAGACTCCCCCAATGTATATGGTTATATGACAATTCCTAAGTCCATTTTGTAGGAATTACTGGCTTTCCATGAAGCAACTGCTGGTCTGGAATGTTTTCAACAGAGCTGATATTTCTGGCTCCTGTTCATGTTTTAGAATATTTAGACAGGTAAGTTGGAAACTTGGCTCTGATTGGAAAAATATTTGAAACTTATTTCTGCAAAAAGTTGTGTTGGATATTGAATCCATGGCCTCATGCATGCTAAACCCATACTTGATTTCTGAGCCACACATCCTGCCCTTAAAGTCTTTTTAACTTTTAAAAGAATGATAGAAATTTAAAGCAAAAGCTCTTGACTCTTAAATAGTCATCGCAGCTCTTGGAGGATGTTGAGAAGGTGAATTGGACTGCAGGTTGAAAACCATCTTGTGTGTGCTGCCTATTGCTAGAAAGGTTTAAGACAGAGAGAGGACAGGGAGTGTAAGCTGTAGTAGTTTGACCTATTTTCAGGATTCTGTTTCTCCCTCACTGGACCTAAAGAAATACTGCAACATAGAATTTCAATGTGATATTTTTTATTATTTATGTGGTACTGGAGATCGAACTCATGACCTCACACTCACCAGGCAGGTGCTTACATCATTGAGCTAAATCCCCGCTAAATCCCCATGTAACATAGAATTTTGAAACAGTCTGTTTTGCCTTCTATCTGCCCCACTACCCTTTTCATGCTGCTGCTTCCCTTTCCTTATTGACATGTGCCATGTTCACCTGGTTAATTTGATCTTACTTTCCATGGCTGTTTTCTGCCCTGTGTTGTCAGGGTCTCTCAGATCAGTCTAACTTGTGTCCTGGGGACAGCTGTGTATGGTCAAAGCCTTTTCCAAAAGCCTGGCAGGTCACACAGACAAGACTGGTATATGTTTTGTTTCTTGTACAAGTCTGGGGTCGTGGTCCAGATCTGGCTGTGAATCACAGCTGGTATAAAACTGTTCATTACTGTCAGTTTGGCGCATCAGAGTTTCCCATGGAGAGTGGTGTGAACCTGAACCCCATGACAGTCCCAGAAGTATGCCAGGGTCTTGAGGCTCCCACGGCCTGAGCATACCTGGGTTAGGATTTCTTTGTGCTAAGGAGCATGGCAACTTAGAAACCACAACAGCTAACCACTAGCCAATGTGTTGCTCTCCAGTTTAGTTCTGGATCAGATTCTAATCCAGAATTAGTATCTGGGCCAAAACTTCCCAGAAGAAATTACAGTAGTGTCTGTGGAGTAGTTGAAAACCATTATAACCCTCAGGAGAACCTGGACCCTAAGCTGGATGCTGCTTAGGCCAGGAGAGCCTGAGATTTCCCAGGCTTTGCGAGCATTACAGCAAAGAGCTAAAATCTCATTGTCCATAACAACAAAAGCAGCAGTAGCTTGGATAATTGCACTATATAGATAACCATTTATTTATTTATTTTTAGTACTGGGGACTGAGCCCAAGGTTTTCATACTGAGCTACATCCCTAGTCTTTTTTTTTTGTCTTTTTCATTTTTATCGGTACTGGGGATCGAACTCACGACCGCCTGCTTGCAAGGCAGGTACTTATGCCGCTGAGCTAAATCTCCAGCCCCTATCCCTAGTCTTTTTGTATGCGTGTGTGACAAGGTCTTGTTAGACAGGGCTCTAACTTGCAATCCTCCTGCCTTAGCCTCCAAAGTTCTCATTTATGTAGTGTGTTCAGCCTCTCAAAAGCTGAAAGAACAAAAGACAATTCACTGCGTGATGATTTTGGAAACTCCACTAAGCAATTTAAATTGTATCTCCAGCCCCTCCTCGCTTTGCAGTCTATGCCAACAGGAAGGACGAGGGAGGGGGAAAAGTCTAACTCTTGGGCATTGTATCATTTTGGATTTGTTTCTTTCATGAGAAGCAATTTTTGGTTGATTAGCCAACAGTTAGAGAGCTGTGTCTCTTGAAGGTTGTCTTGTCACCATGCTGACTGCTCCATCCTTTCTTTACTTGCCACGGTAGGACAGAAATTTTTTTTTCAGAATTCATTTTGAACGAATGTCTGGAGCCTGGGACTGGGGTTACCATCCCCTCAAAGAAGAACCACTCCTGCTGTGCTTGAGGCAGGAGGAACTGTCATCGAGGAATGCTTCTGTGACCTGGGGCGGTTCCATCTATGTGTTCCTCGCGGGTACCCCTCACCTTTCCTTGTGTTTCCACTACTGCTTGTGCAGACTGCCATCAGGGTTCAGTACATAACGGCGCGTGAGAATAAAATGGCATTGTCCGTAATTTCCTCCTTCCACCACTAGGTGTCGCCTTCATCTCAGAGAACCGTGCCCCTCCTAAGCCTACACTATCACCCTCCCTCTGTTCAAGAGCTCTTAGCTTCTTGGCACAGATTTCTGGGGAAGTGGCTTGAAAGGGGGAGAAAAGCGGTGGCTCTCAGCACAGAGGAGACTTGAGTTTATGCCCTTTATTGCAGCTTGAGAAAACTCCCCAAGGTCCCATATCAGTCCCCCTGCAACCATGATGTCATTCTTCACAAGCTGTTCCTGAGGATCACATTAGCACTCCAGATGTGGGGAACCTTGGTGACCTTTCCAGGGCGAGAGCTTGGGACAGGCTAGAACCCATGGTGGGGTAAAGATGGCTTTCATTACTGGAGCTGCGGGCTTAGTCCACAAGCTTCCATCAGGCGATAGCGGGGGCTGTGCAGAGAGGTAAAAGGCAGACAAGGCCCTGGAACAGATGGCTGGTGGAAGCCAGTGGGGCCATGTTGAATCTCTGAGGACGCACAGAGGGCACTAAAGGGCCACGGAGACAGGGAGGGGGAAAGGGCAGGGTTGAGTCTCCAGGAAGGAGACTCATGGGCTTCCTGGGGACTCTTGAAGAATGGGACACGGCAGCCCCCGGGAGCCCGCGAGGTTTGTCTTTCAGGGAGCCGGCAGGTCTTCCTGCTGAAGGGGCCAGACTTCACTGGCAGTCAGGAGGGCAGTATGGTGTCCTCGGTAGGGGATTGGGAGGACACCAAGGGTTTGGGGACTCCTCGCTGCTTGCTGGAGCGCAACGACCGAGGGGCTCCAGGATTTGAAAGAGGGGACCTTAGAAGAGCAGGGTAGGCGAGGGGGTGGAAGACAGGCCCTGGGGTGGCTGGAGTGTGTGGGATGGAAAGGGAGCAGCAGGGCGGACCAGGGGCTTGGGGGAAGTAGGGGGCCGGGGTGCGGAGCCGCCGGGCGCGCACGGTGGGAGGGGGGGCTCCGGGTGGGGGGCGGGGCGCGTGGGGGGCAGCAGGCGCCGGAGGGCGGGGCGGGGCGGGGCAGGCGGGGCGTCACTCCCGCCCCCCGCCGGCGGCGCAGTGAGCCGGGACGCGCCGGGCCGCGGCGACCTGACCCGGACGGGCGGCGCGCGGGGGCCCAGGCTGGGGGCGGGAGGAAGCTCCGGGCAGCGGCGGCCGCGGGCCCAGGCGGAGCGAGTGGAGCGGAGAGGAGCAGACAAGGGCGGCCGCCGCAGCTCCGGATGGGACCAGCGCCGGGCCCGCTGGTGGAGCAGGAGCTCCGGGAGAAGCCTTCACAGGGAGATTTCCCCTCGCCTTCCCTGCCCTCCCGCCCAGGCCTCGCTTCGCTGCCCGCCCGCCCCGGTCCCAGTCCTTCCGCGGCGCGGCGCCCTCCCACCTCAGCCCCTTTTTCGCAGCTCTCTGCCTGCCCAGCCCCTTCAGCCGTGGGGTCCCTCCGGGCCAGTTCTTTGTACCGGCCTCTTCCAACCCCCACGCCCCCAGCCCGTCCCGGGCTCAGGTCCCCTTCTTTTCGGCTTTGGATTCCTCAGGCCACTTTACCCCTCACTGTCCCCATCCCTGTGGCAGGCCCCCTCGGCCCCCTTTCCTGCTGCCACCCTCGCTGTGGTCCTCGGTGCTTGCCCTAGGCTGGGAGCCCACTCCTTGCTCACCCTGAGGGTCCCTCCCATCTTCCCCCGGGTCCCAGCACTTTCTGCAGCCCAGCAGACTTAGCTTGTCCCCCTTCTCTTCCTGGCCATCTTCCACAGCCTCCAGGCTGGGTGGTGCTTGTGCCTGCCCGGTAGGCCAGAGTGGCCCCAGGTTCTGGGGGTGGTGGCGCTGCTGCTTTATCCCCATGGCACTGCCATCACTGTTGCTGGTGGTGGCAGCCCTGGCAGGTGGGGTGCATCCTCCAGGGGCGCAGAACCTGACTCTGGCAGTCGTGCTGCCCGAACACAACCTGAGCTACGCTTGGGCCTGGCCACGGGTGGGTCCTGCTGTGGCACTAGCTGTGGAGGCGCTGGGCCGGGCACTGCCCGTGGACCTGCGGTTTGTCAGCTCGGAACTAGATGGCGCCTGCTCTGAGTACCTGGCACCGCTGCGCGCTGTGGACCTCAAGCTGTACCATGACCCTGACCTTCTTTTGGGCCCGGGTTGCGTGTACCCCGCTGCCTCTGTGGCCCGCTTTGCCTCACACTGGCGTCTTCCTTTGCTGACTGCGGGTGCAGTGGCCTCTGGTTTTGCTGCTAAGAATGAACATTATCGTACCCTGGTTCGCACTGGTCCCTCTGCTCCCAAGCTGGGTGAGTTTGTGGTGACATTACACGGGCACTTCAACTGGACTTCCCGCGCTGCCTTGCTGTATCTGGATGCCCGCACAGATGACCGGCCTCACTACTTCACCATCGAGGGTGTCTTTGAGGCCCTGCAGGGCAGCAACCTCAGTGTGCAGCACCAGGTGTACGCCCGTGAGCCAGGCGGCCCCGAACAGGCCACGCACTTCATTCGGGCCAACGGGCGCAGTGAGTGTGGACCCAACTGATGGAGGGTCGGGGAGGAGGGTCACTGTGTCGGTGGAGCTCAGCTTGTGGTTAGTTGTGACGGAAATGCAAACGTGGTCAGGGCACCTGTGAGGAGGTTCAGGTGTTAGGAGGAGTCTGGGGACGGATGTCACCAGCGGATGAAACCAGAAATTGCAGAAAGTGATGGGGGAAGATTGTCTCCGGAGAATGCAGTATTGGGGGATGTTGGAGAGTGTGGGTATCCCTGATCAGTGGGCCTGGTTGATGGCCACTTTGAAATATGTTCCTGTTAATGAGCAGAGATCCTACAGACTGGGGCAGCAAGACCCCTTAGCCCTGTAAAAGCAGAGAAGATGCCATAAACCGGTTCAGGGCTCAGCAGATGTGGTTGGCCCATGAAGCTCAGACTGAGAAAGGCAGATCAGATCAGCTAGGAAACGCAGGGAAGAGTGGGAGTGAGGTCGACTGGTGACAGGCAGCAGGCAAGGCTCTGGGGACAGGGGAGCAGTGCGACTGCTGTTTTCCTCTGGGGTCCAGAGTCAGCCTCTGACTCCTGCCAGATGGTCCACATGGCCCCAGGGTACTTAAGACATGGGCTGGGGGGGAGGATGGGGAGCATCTGTTGGCAGTCTTCTGACCACCTATTGTTGGGGCACTGTCCTGCTAAAGAGGGCCATGTAGATGATTCAGAGAGGGGGAACACCCCGGGCCCGGTATGCTCTCTCAGGATGCTGTCATGTACCTGCTCCCAGTTGTGTACATCTGTGGCCCTCTGGAGATGCTGCACGAGATCCTGCTTCAGGCCCAGAGGGAGAACCTGACCAATGGGGACTATGTCTTCTTTTACCTGGATGTCTTTGGGGAGAGCCTCCGTGCGGGCCCCACACGCTCTACAGGCCGGCCCTGGCAGGACAATCGCACCCAGGAGCAAACCCAGGCCCTCAGACAGGCCTTTCAGGTATCATTTGAGCCCAGTCTGAAGGAAGAGGGGAAAGGCACGTGGTTGGAGGTTCTCTGTCTCTCCTGTGATCCCACATACACTCTAGGAACAAAGCAAAAGTTGTGAGCTACAGAAGCAAAACAAACAGAAACATTTGGAGTCTAGTATCACTAATTTTCCTTCCCCAGCTTTGTGACTGTGGTATGTCTGCCAGCAAGACTGACTTTGGCCAGTGGTGCAGATACTGATTTTCCTAAATGCCAATAGTAGGCTAGACTTGGGGGAGAAAAGTTCAGGAAAAGATCTGAGCATATGGAGGGCTTCTATTCTTTTGGAAAATCAAGACATAGCAATGGTACTATAAGATAAAGTTCAAGAAAAGATATGATTGTGTGCCTCAGACAGACACTGAGGACTTCTCTGCTTCAGAGGCGGAAGAGTCAATATGTGCTGGGTTTCGGGATCCCTTTCTTTATAAAGAAAAAGAGATTCTGTTGTGATTTGAATGAAGGATGTCATGTTCACAAAGTGGAAGAGGGGATCCAGGCTGCCTGCTCAAAGAGAGCAAAAGATAGGGATGGATATGCTTGGGGGACCTGGGAGATACTGATGAGAAAGAAGTGATCAATTATAACTGATATAGGAAATAAAATTGCATAGGTATAGTTAGATGAAGAAGAGCTCTAGTCCTTAAGTCACTGGGACTTGAATTTGGGATCTTTACATTTTTAAAAAGATAAGTACAGTGAGAGAAAGAGACTAGGTAGTGAGACCAGATAATAGGTTAGAAAGGAATGGGGTGACACAGCTTGAACTAGGGTGATGGGAGAGGGAATGGAAAAAGGATTTAGGAGAGACTCTGTGTGGAAGGTTGGCATGACTTTTTCTTCTCTGCCCCAAACTCAACGACTTGTTTCCTACAGAACAGAATCTTGTGTGTTTATTAGGACACTGAAGCATATCGGTAGCTGGGTATAATGGCACACACCTATATCCCAGCATTGGGGAAGATGAGGCAGGAGGATTGCTGTGAATTCAGGGCCAGCCTGGGCTCAGTGAGTTCAGGGCCAGTCTGAATGACCTAGTGAGACCCTGTCTCAAAAAACAAAACCAAACAAAGCCAAACAAACAAACAAACAAACAAACAAACAAAACAACAACTGTACAGCCTATTCTCAGCCCACTGTTTCAACTTCAGTTTTCAGTGTCCTTGTACCCAGAACTCTAGCCTACTCCAGTCCGCCTTCAAGGGTCCCCAGCCCAGGAGCCCACTGTCCTCGTGCCTTTGGCCTTTGTTCCTTTTGCCTGCAGTGCTCCTTCTTCTATGAGCTCCATCTCTGCCTTACAGATTCGCCCATGCATCTTTCTTTGGCCCTGTCACCAAGTTTGCACTGATTTATGTATATGAGCATTGCCTGTTTATTCAGCCATCTCCTTGTTTTTCCAAAAAGGATTCAAGGTGGCTTTTGGGATGAACGTATGGTGCTTTTCACCCTGAAAGTCTTTGATTCTAAGTAGAGGTGTAAGGGCTGGACCTGGGTGACCATTCTTTTCCAGTGAGTAAGGTTTTATGTGGCTATGATTACATATCTGGTTGTGGCTGATGAGTGTGTCCAGCTGTGAATGACATATCTGTTTGCATGCCTGAGTATGAGTCTGTGACTGTCACACTTGAACTTGGGCACTAGCAGGACAGGTTTTGTTTATGCTATAATTTTTTTTCCTGAAAAACCTTCCCAGAAACTTTTGTGTCTGGATAATGCTTCCATATTCTTTAAGATTCAGACCATTGTTTTGCCTTCTACGAAACAAAGCCTGAATCCCCAGGTTGGGCTGAATTTTCTACTCTTGTGCTTAACCCTGTCTATCACAGGACATATTACTCAGTGTGTGTTTGATTCATCTGAAGACTGACATTTTGTTAGTATTTACTGAGCACCTATTATACCCCAGTGACCGTGCTAGGTACTGGTGTGTGGTAGAGAATATAATAGATATAATTCCTGGCTTTATGGAGTTTACTTACTAGGAAAACTAATCAATAAACAAATAAATACAAACACAGAAATATATTGTGATAAGTGTTATACAGTAATAGAGTTGCAGGAGAAGATACCAATGAGTGTACTGTACCTTAGCTAACAAGATTGAGAAGGTGTGTGACACTCCCAGATGGGGGATTCTACAGCCTTCTGGAATATATTCCTTTTTTTTGAAGAAGAAGAAGAAGAAAAACTTCTTTCTTGTGTGAGAATGAATTCCTGTCATCCAAAGGACACTAGCACCAAGGAGGGGAGGGGGCCCTCAGTCAGTTAACGATCAATTATAGCAATTAATTCTCACCTCTTCCATTACTTTAGATCTTACTCAGACAGGAAAATGGAGATTCCCTACAAGGGAAGGGAAGTGAAGTCAGGGATATGCTCAGGGGAAACAGGATGTGAGCTGGAGCTGGAGCTGGAGTGGGTGCGGAGAGCACCTGGTGAAGGTGCGATGTTCTCTCTAATGCTGGCGCAGGGAGAATTTGGGTGGTTAGCTCCAAGAAGGGCCAAAGAGCACCCTTCTTCAGACGTAGGGACTACAGAGGTCCCCGAGCTAGGATGGCCTGGAGCAGTGGTGGGTAACGCACAGACATCGAAAGTCTTTCCAGGGCAAAGGTACCCTCAAGGTAAAGGTGCCAGACAGGCTGGATACCAACTCCTGGGGGAAGAGCTTGAAATTAAATATGTTGACAGGGCTTCTCTCCCCCACTCAGCCAGAGCTGCTTGAAGGTGGGGATTATGTTCAGCTTTGCATTCCAAGTGTCTAGCGTGTAATGGGTATTTAATACATTTGACATAAGGTCTCTTTCTGGTATCAGGGTCTCCTTGTGTAGCCCAGGCTGTCCTTGAACTCACTGTACAACCTACACTGACCTCAAATTTGAAATCCTCCTGCCTCAGTTTCCCAAGTGCTGGGATTACAGGCATGTGCCACTATGCCCTGCCACATTTGTTGAATTAAAGTATGTGTTAGGGAGAGGGGGAATCCTATTCTAGAATTCCTTTCCTAGGAATTCTCTCCTGCTTGGAAGAAAGCAGGTGCTGTAAACCAAGGTGATTAGCCAAGAGCAGGAAGAAAAGTTGAGAGAGCAGAACTAAATAAGCAGATGATCGGGCTCTGAGGAGCTGGAGGACCAGACTGGGAAATGGGGGACTGCAGGGTTAGAAATCCAGGGAGGATGTCCCAGCCCAGGTGACTAGCCAGACTGAGTCCCAGAGGGGCTCACTTCAGCACAATGGAAGGAAGCCCTACACCCAGGGTGCTCAGGCAGAGTCTCCAGGGAAGCTGTTCCCGTCTCTTCAGGCTTGGTCAGCAGCACCTCCTGCAGCTGGCAGAGCAGGGCAGCACTGGCAGGAGCGTGTGCCCCACCCCTGCACATTTCCTGGGTGCATTCCCCCTGGTTTTCACTCACATGGAATTTGTTTTGGACAGCATTTGCCTGGTTTGGTTTTTATTTTGTTTTTACACTGGGGATGAGTCCAGGGCCTTCACATTGAGCTACATCCCCAGTCCTTTTTATTTACTTGTTTAGTTTTTTGGGACAGGGGGGCTCACTATGGCCTCGAACTTGTGGCAGTCCGCTTGCCTTGGCCTCCTGCGGCCTCCTGCAGGCATGCACCACCACACCTGGCTCTCATCCCTGGTCTTTTTATTTTTTATTTTGAGATAAGGTCTCACTAATTTTCCCAGGCTGGGGTTTAATTCTGAATCCTTCTGCCTCAGCATCCCAGAGTCCTGGGATTACTGGTGCATACTATCACACCGGACAGATTTTGCCTCATTTTTCCCTTTGTCTGGGGTCCACTGTGAAATTGTACTCCCTTGCTTACCTTTATCCGTCTTCGGCCCCTGAGCAAGTATAGGAATTGTGTTCGTGTTTTTTTTTTTTTTTTTATCGCTACCTGGGATTGAATTTACGATCTCCTGCTTGCAAGTCAGGTGCTTATGCTGCTGAGCTAAATCCCCAGCCCCTCATGTTTGTTTTTAATGCCTTGTAAGCAGCTACAGCAAAGGTCTAGCACAGCCATTTTCAAAGTGTGCTCTTGGGATCCTTGGGGCCTCTGAAATTGTTTTAGGAGCTATAAGATCAAAGTTATTTTAAAAGTTACACTAAGATGTTCTATGCCTTTGCCACTCTTGCCCTCCATGACCGAACTGTGGAGTTTCCCAGAGGCTGCATGACATGAGAGCCAGGAGAGTCACACTTGTGCATTCTTACGTTCCCAAAGGTTATGTTTTAATTTCTAACTAGTAAATATTGACAGATGTAATCCACGTAAAAGTTGAGGTCCTCAGTAATTCTTAAGAATGTAGAGATCTTTAGACCAAAATATTTGATTACTGCTCAAATAAGTAACCAATATAGAGACTTCTGTTTTTAAAAGCATTTAAGCCTGGCCTAGTGGTGCATGCCTGTAATCCCAGCTCTTGGGAGTCTGAGGCAGGAGGGTCACTGTGAGTTCAAGGCCAGCTTGGGCTACACAGTAAGTCTAGACTATGCTGAACTGCATAGTGAGACTCTGTCTCAAACAAAAGAAAAGCATGTGAAATCCGTTACCAGCCTTTATTGAAATACAGTTTACCTTGAGCATCATTTGGGCAGTGGGTTTGTTTCCGTGTTGATTTTCCTGAGTGTCACTTAGTCATGTGTCGTTTTAACCATTTGATTCTTGTATCAAATAAACTTGATGAAATTGTCATTTTATATTTCCTGATGTTATCTTATAAAAATTAGTAAAAGAAGGCAAATTTTGGTATCTTGTACTTAAATAATGGGACTAGAAAGTGGTTTAGCCTGATCATTTCTAGCCTTTTTTCCGGTACTAGGGATTGAACCTAAGGCTTTTTACACTGAACTACATCTCCTACCTTTTTTACTTTTTACTTTTTGGATCTTCCTAAGTTGCCCAGGCTGGGCTCAAACTTTGATCCTCCTGCCTCAGCCTCCCAGAGTGCTGGAATTTTAGGGTATACTATTTTGAGGTGTTTTTTTTTTTTTTTTGTTTTGCTTTTTCCATTGTCAAAAATGTTCTGCTCTATTTTTGGAACAGGTATTACTAAATGAACCATTCCAGCTGTATCCCTCCACCTTCTTCTTCTTCTTTTTTTTTGGCTTCGGAGTACAATATTAGAAGTGTATAACCAACCACCCAGATGCTCTAGTAAAAGTAATTATTTTTGAAGCAAACTCTAGTCTAATACAGTGAGTACATACTAGAAATTGATTTCATTATTTCCTATCTGGAATGAAGCGATTATAGACAATGAGGGTATACCTTGTATCTCTGTACTTTCTACAAGAATGAACAAAACTGGTAGGAATTATTAGATTTTTAACCTATCATCTTACAAAGTCGGGTTTACACATGTTTCAGTGTACTGAAGTCTTTTTCTGAAGTTGTAAGGCCAGTTTTCTGACTTAGCGTAGGCTGGACTCTGACTATGTGACCTGATGTCCAGCAGCCAAGGAAGGGATACACCCAAGGCTCTGAGGAGCCAGGCAGGCACTGTGGTGGGGGCAGAGGGCTGCTGGCTCGTGTGCTAGTGAGATGTGTGCATGGTGGAGAGCACATGTGTGTACTCTGTGCAGCGTGTGCGGGCAGGTGACAGTGTGTCACAGTGACATGTCCACTACTTAGTAAGCAGGACAATGCTGTGTACTAGGGGTTTCATACATGTAAAATGCATGAAATTGCAGCTTTTGACAGGTGGAATCACCGTTTCCAAGCATTTCCTGTAGTCGTCACAGGGCCTGTAGTCACTCTAACTCACTATGTGGAGGGATTTCATGCACATGGCCCACATGAAAAATGTCAACGTGTATATGACAGCACCTCCTATAGGAAGTGTTGACTAGTGTCATCCTTGATAGTGACAGGTACCCAAAGGGCACAGCATGGAGGGACTTCTGTGCGCTCTGTGGTAATCTGGCAGGAGGCCTAGTGGTGGTAGGGAGTTCAGGAGGGTGCGGGGTATGGGATAGAGTTTTCATCTATTGCCCCCCAATTTCACCTACACAGTCCTGTCTGCCTTTCATGGAGTTTGCTCCCTGCCCTCTCCAGAGTTTAGTGCCTTTTCTGTCTTCAGACTCTGCCACGTGTGTTTCATATCATGTATATTATGCCAAACTTCCCAGGGGCGCCTCCTTTTTTCCTCTCACGGTTATCTTGAATTCTGTTTACTCTTCTCTGTGTGCTGCTGACTGCTGCAGACCGTCCTGGTGATCACATACCGAGAACCCCCAAATCCTGAGTACCAGGACTTCCAGAATCGTCTGCTGATAAGAGCCCGGGAAGATTTTGGTGTGGAGCTGACCCCGTCCCTGGTAAGTAGCTCTCTTCCTCCTTGAGTGTCATGCTGGGTTGCAAGGAAGGCCCCCACTCAGCGGAGTCTTGGCAGCAGAGCACACATCTCACTAGCACACGAGCCCCACTTTGGGGCTATCCACTGCCATCCAGAAAACTTCCCTCTGCCCCAGGAACCAGGTAGGTAGGGCTGACACTTTAGGAATGGGAGAAGGGAAGAAAATGAGCCACAAGAGAGAGGAGGTAGAAGGACTCTCCGTGGCTGGAGGAGGCTAAGGCGCCTTGCAGGACATGGGAAGAGCGCTGAGAAAGTTGCTGCCCCTAGATGAACCTCATTGCTGGCTGCTTCTATGACGGGATCCTGCTCTACGCTGAAGTCCTGAATGAGACAATACAGGAGGGAGGCACCCGGGAAGATGGACTTCGAATCGTGGAGAAGATGCAGGGACGAAGATACCATGGTAATGAGGAGGGGAAGACAAGCCGGGCAGCATCACGTGTGTCTGTAATCCCAGAACTCTGAAAGTTTGAGCTTAGCCTGGCCAGTTTAATGAGATTCGGTCTCAAAATAAAGTACACAAAGTGGGGGCTGGGAATGTGGTTCATTTTGAAGGCCCTAGGCTCATTTTCCAGTACCAAAAGAAAAGGTGGGGCAAGGGCAGGTGGAGGTCTGAATGGTGGTGTCTGCTCACAGGTGAGCAGACAGAAGCAACGTTGGGAGCAGCAGAGTCAGGAGGGTCTGAAGCAGGGCTGGGACGGATATACATCAAGGACAGGGGAGAGGACAGACTGAGGCAGCTGGGACGCCTGGGGGAGTAGTGGCAGAACCCGGGGTTAATCAACAAGTGAGGGGCCCTCTTTTCTATTCTAGGTGTAACAGGGCTGGTTGTTATGGACAAGAACAATGACCGGGAGACTGACTTCGTCCTGTGGGCCATGGGAGACCTGGATTCTGGGGACTTTCAGGTGATGGGGGAGCGGGCAGGGAAGAGAACGTGCCCTGCAAAATCCAGCTTTTAGGGGTTCGGTGGGTGCAGAATCCAAAGTCCTAGGGGGCCGGGACTTGGTGCTCCCCACATCCTGGGTGGGTGAGAGCCTGTGGGGACGGATGCAGAAAGGCTGGGCCGGGGTGGAGGCAGAGGGAGCAGGCCTGGGGCCCAGCATTCTGCTTCCTCACAGCCAGCAGCCCACTACTCAGGAGCTGAGAAGCAGATTTGGTGGACAGGCCGGCCTATTCCCTGGGTGAAGGGGGCCCCCCCTTTGGACAACCCCCCCTGTGCCTTTGACCTGGACGACCCATCCTGTGATAAAAGTGGGTGTGTGCAGGGACTGGGAGCAGTCCTTCCTCCCTTTGCTTTCCGGCTTCTCTACCCTTGCGGCTGCCTCTTCTTAGCTGTGTTTTTACCTCTCATCTGCAGCCTTTCCTCTTCACCTCTCTCCCTCTGGAAATCTGTCTACTCCCTGTGCCTGAGCCTCTCCCCTCCCCACTGTTAGGAGCCCTGCCCCGCAGTCTTCCTCAGGGTCTCTTTCTTCCCTTCAGCTCCGCTTTCCACTCTGGCAATTGTGGCTCTGGGCACAGGAATCACCTTCATCATGTTTGGTGTTTCCAGCTTCCTAATTTTCCGGTAAGTTCTGGGGTTTCCACTGACCTGTTCCTCACTTCCTCCTGGCTACAGGGCCACTGGCCGAGGCCAGGGGGCTCCCTATAATGTGGCCTAGGGGTAGCGAGCCTCCCCTATGGTGGTTGTCTGTGAGACCTCATCCTCTCTAGCCTTTCTCTTTGGTTGTCTTTTCCCACTTTTGGTTCTGATCTGGTATATTAAGCAGGGTTTAGTTCAGACATTTTCCATGGATGCCCCCATTTTAAGAAAGAACTTTTACCTCCAACCTCTGCGTTTGTGGGTGCACATAGGCACCTCCAGCCATGCAGACAGCGTGTCTGCGTCTTCTAGTCTGGGCTCTGGGTGCACCCATTGAAGTGTCAGGAGGTGAAGGGCAGGTCCTGCGGCTCCACAGTTGGCTGAGGGGTGGCGGCGTGGGCTTGCCAGTCAGCTGAGGCGTGCAGTCCTTACAGAAAGCTGATGCTGGAGAAGGAGCTGGCCAGCATGCTGTGGCGCATTCGTTGGGAGGAACTGCAGTTTGGCAACTCAGAGCGTTACCACAAAGGTGCAGGCAGCCGCCTCACCCTGTCACTGGTGAGCCTTCGTCTCTGCTGTCCCTCCACCTCCCTCTGAGTTCCTGTCCTTTCTTACCCTGGACCTCTCCTAGCGCACTGGCCTGTAATGATAGCCCCTGCACCACCACCACCATCTAATGTTCCTTTCATCCTTCCGCCTCCATGTTGCCCTTGGCCCCAGCGGGGATCCAGTTACGGCTCGCTCATGACAGCCCATGGGAAATACCAGATCTTTGCCAACACCGGTCACTTCAAGGTGAACAGTCATCTGCTCATTTGGTCCCCACCATTTCATCCTGTCTCATCCTCATCTGCCATCTCTGCCCCTGAACCTCTGCTTCTCATGGCCCCTCTCTGTACCCAGCTGAGCTCCTGGATATTCTTACAGTTCTCCGGTGCTTCTGAGCCTCCAGAAACAAATGGTACTCATTTGGTTTTTTTCTCTTCTGCTCTCACCAGGGAAACGTGGTCGCCATCAAACACGTGAATAAGAAGCGCATTGAGCTGACTCGGCAGGTTCTGTTCGAACTCAAACATGTATGTAAGAGTGTGGCATGAGGCTGTGGGGTAGGGAGGAGGGGGAGAGCAACAGGGAAGCCTGAACAGACACTTCGGCTAGCGAGGCAGGGCATTACTTAGGATGGATTTTAAGTCATAGGTCCTCACTTGTAACGGTACATTTCTGCGTCTGGTCTGTGGCCTTCCCATGTTTCTCTGCTAGATGAGAGATGTTCAGTTCAACCATCTCACTCGATTCATCGGTGCCTGCATAGACCCTCCCAACATTTGCATCGTCACTGAGTATTGTCCCCGTGGGAGTTTACAGGTGAGGGATAGTGTGTGGGAGGGGCTGAGCCAGTCACATGACTCTGCCAAGTGGTGACTGGCAGGGCTAGGACATACACGTGCTCTCCTCTGTGTCACCTACCAGGATATTCTAGAAAATGACAGCATCAACTTGGACTGGATGTTTCGTTATTCTCTCATTAATGACCTTGTTAAGGTGAGTTCCTCATATTTTCTCTCTCTCTTTTTGTGCTGGGGATTGAACCTAGGGCCTTGTGCATGCCAGCAATGTATCCCACTGAACCACATCCCAAACTCTTATTTATCTTGTGATGGAGTCGCACTGAGTTGCTCAGGCTACAGTTGAGCTTGTGACCCTCCACCCTCAGCTCCCCAGTAGCTGGGATTACAGACTTTACCACCATGCCCTGCTCCTCATTCCTGAAGAGTTTATCCACTCTAAACCGCCTGCATCACTCAGGCACTGCTACGGTTTCTCTCCTTCTGGTGCTCTGAGTCCTGTTCTCTCCACCTCCCCTTATTCCATGTTGGATGATAGATAACAGGTAAACACAGGTTCTGAGGGAGAGTTTTGTCTTCCTGTCCTCGAAGATGTGTCTCTTGCATCTCTTTACCTCCATGAGTTCATATTAAAATCTCTTAAGAAAAAGGCAAAGTGAAGTCTACAAACATATTTATCTCTTGCTTTTCCTGGTACCATTTTACTCTCTGACCAGCATTTGGGATGTCTGTTCTTTTGTTCAGAAACTGAAGTTTAAATAAAAACACTTACTGTTTAAGAGAAGCCAAAGAAGACTTCCAAATGGTTATTCTTCCAGGTTCTATTTTTGAAGTGACCCAGAGGCCCGTGCATTTTGGGGCACAAACCCGACCGTTGCCTGAGTTGGACAGCTGTTTAGAAGCAAGTCTCATAGCCAGTGAGCAGGCCTGATGAGTCTCCCGCACCATCCCCAAAGTGGCTTTGGTTTTCTGCTAAATTTTTATGAAGTTAAAATTTTAATGTGTGAAAGCTGTCCATCAAATAAGAAAAATACTAGGTAAAGCTACTGTAGTGTTCAATTAGAGGTCCAATGATAAGAAAAACAATGACTTTTGAGACAACCATGATCTTTTGGAAAAAGTTTTAGAAGGTATACTTTGTAGTTTCCATGCAAGTGAATTCACAAATTTGGAGATGTCCAAAGATTTTTCTGATTCTAGCAGGAATAAACAGAGAACTCATAGAGACTATTACGAATTGTTCAAGCTTGAGTTAAACATTTACACAGAGCTGTCTTTGATTAGCATACAGTACCTTTCTCTGTCCCATTTGCACTGACGTTTGCATCCCAGGGTCTCATTTTTGGGGACCACAGTCCTGTCCTCTTACAACTTGTGTTTTATCTCCTTGAAGGTCACAGTTTCTCTCATTTCTGGCCCCACGAGCCAGCAGTTTCAGGCTTCTGCATTGGCTTAGCCACTGTCACTTAGTAATTTCATCTATTTTCCAAATTTGTCTAATATACCATTTTTTCTGCTTCCTCTGTGGTCCAGTATCCTCTCTGATACAGCGTGTTCCTCCTGCTCCTGGCTTGCATGAGTGTTTACACATTAGGGTTCATACCTGCTGGGTCTGCCTTGGTGCATGTGGCTGCCTTGTCCCTCTCAGGCCGTGTCTTCCTAATTAGCAGACATCTGAGGCCACCACGGATGGCATAATACTCTTGGAACTCACCCTCATAGTTTGTTCTCTTTAGAATATGTCTGCGCTTTCTGGGATAGTACTTTATAGCTCTCTTTATCCTTGCTCTTTTTCTTTCCTTTCTTTTTTTTGGTACCAGGGATTGAACTCATGACATGTTTGCCAGGCAGACGCTTATGCTGCTGAGCTAAACCCCCAGCATTATCCTTGCTTTTAAGTGTTTTTTCTGTCCCTGGTGCCTGGCTACCTATATACTACTTACAGTACCAGAAAGAGGGTTACCCTCTTATTTTACCTATGTCCTTGGGTAAAAATTGTGCTATAAAGGATGACTTCGAAAATTGCCTTGTTACGGCCCTGAGATATTTAGGCAGCTAGCTAGGGTGCATGGGAGGGGTTACCTAGCCAGATATGATCTAAAATACTTATCTGTATCCTGCAGGGCATGGCCTTTCTCCACAACAGCATTATATCGTCTCATGGAAGCCTCAAGTCCTCCAACTGTGTGGTGGATAGTCGTTTCGTGCTCAAAATCACAGACTATGGCCTGGCCAGCTTCCGATCAACTGCTGAACCTGATGACAGCCACGCCCTCTATGCCAGTGAGGCTTGCCTGCACACCCCATGTTTTATGTTGTTCTTCTGGCCTTGATCATTTCCACCAAGGGAGGGGGGGACAGATGGAGTAACAGCAATATGCAGATGAGCCTACGTGAGCTTGGGGGTGCCCTGTTGGGGACTTGACCAGCCTGTTTTTCTTTTCAGAGAAGCTGTGGACTGCCCCAGAACTGCTCAATGGGAACTCCTTGCCAACCACAGGAATGCAGAAAGCTGATGTCTACAGTTTTGGGATCATCCTACAGGAGATAGCACTTCGCAGTGGTCCTTTCTACTTAGAGGGCCTGGATCTTAGCCCTAAAGGTGACAGTCAGTTACTACCCATAGCTGCCTCCTCCTGGGGGACCTTGTCCTTCATCCAAACCTTTCATCACCCTCAGAGATTGTCCAGAAGGTCCGAAATGGTCAGCGACCATATTTTCGGCCAACCATTGACCGGACCCAACTGAATGAAGAGCTAGTTTTGTTGATGGAGCGATGTTGGGCCCAGGACCCTGCTGAGCGACCAGATTTCGGACAGATCAAAGGCTTCATTCGCCGTTTTAACAAGTGAGCAGGCATTAGGGGGCAGGGTCTGTTGGGGGACAGAAGCCTCATCAGCCTTAGTGAATAAGGTGGGACTGGTGGGGCCAAAGGGTGGATTGAATAGGAAGTCCTGGGGTTCTTAAGGATTTTACAGCACCAGGTGTGGCAGCGCATACCTGTAATCCTACCACTCGGGAGGCTGAGGCAGGAGGAGCACAGGGAGTCTGAGGCCAGCCTGGGTTACATAGTGAGTTCAAGCCCAGCCTGCATTACAAAGCAAGACCCTGTCTCAACAACAACAAAAGTCCTAGAGCAGGTGCCATAACTGGCTTCCCTGCAGGGAGGGTGGCACCAGCATATTGGATAACCTCCTGCTGCGCATGGAACAGTATGCTAATAACCTGGAGAAGCTGGTGGAGGAACGCACACAGGCCTATCTGGAGGAGAAGCGGAAGGCTGAGGCTCTGCTCTACCAGATTCTACCCCAGTGAGACCTTTGACCCTTCCTTAAATTTCCCTTTGAGATTCGGCTCTGTTGGGTTCTACCTTGTCAGCTTCCTGAAAACTCTCTTCCTACCCTCAGAACCCATCTATTCTGTCTCACCACGGTGACCCCTTCTGACTAGAGACTACACACTTTCATTCTGTCTCCAAATGAGCCCTGAGCTTTCTGGCTTTGCATCCCTCCTCAGGACACAGCTCTACCTTGCCTTTGCTTTAACCGGTGTCTGTAAACTATTCCCAGCCTGAGACACTTAGCCCCTGCATGCAGATCCTCCTGTAACCCTCCGCCACTGGCTCAGCTTTCCTTGCTCAAGGTACCTTTTCAGCTACTTTGCTGCAGCCACCTTCCCCCACCCCATGCCTAAACCATCTTTCTTGGAGCTCGGCTTACACTGTACTCTTATTAGCTCTGTGGCAGAGCAGTTAAAGCGGGGAGAGACTGTACAGGCTGAGGCCTTTGACAGTGTCACCATCTACTTCAGCGACATCGTTGGCTTCACAGCGCTGTCAGCTGAGAGCACCCCCATGCAGGTGAGAGTTGTGGGTGCATGGTCAGGGGTGGGATAGGGATCTGGGAGCTTCACCCATAATGAAGACTGGTTTGTTCTTGAGCTCCCTTACACTGCTATGGCTCATGGATTGAGAATTCTTAGTAAGCTGGGCACAAATTTCAGGGCCTGTGCTTTCCCATCCTGTTAGGTGGTGACACTTCTTAATGACCTGTATACCTGCTTTGATGCCATAATTGACAACTTTGACGTCTACAAGGTGAGAACTGGGTTGCGCTTCTATGAGACTCCTTTAAAACCCAGGTTCCTGAGTTCCCACATGCCTCCTCCTCTTAATGGCTAGTTTTTCTCCAGGGTCTCCCACATCTTACTGATGGTGTGCACTTTGTGGATGGCTGTGGCTCCAGCATTATAAATGCATACTGTGACCTAGTTCCCTGTGACTCCTTAGGGTTCCCTGGTCAGAACCATCACAAGCTTTACTCCCTATCTCCCTGGGGATAGACACATTATCTGTTTTTTCTCCTTTCTTCTCCAGACATAGAAGAATCATATAGGATGTAGGCACAGATCGATTTAGTGGGGTGAAGGTCAACATAAGGATAAAAGTTGTATTGCTTTTTATTGAAGCCATTGCATTGATGGAGAGGTTTTATTGTCCTGGACTGTAAAAATGAGCTGGGTTTGAATATTGGCTTTGTAGTCCTGTGGCTCTAGATAAGCAGTAGCATCTCTCTGAGTCTCAGTTATTTTATCTTTGAAATGGGGATGACAGTTTAGTTGTCAGATGTGGTGGCTCAAGGCTCTAATCTCAGCTACTCAGGAGGCTGAGGATCAAAAGCTTGAGCACAGCCTGGGGAACTTAGTAATTAAGCAGGACTGTCTCAAAATAAAACGGTCTGGAGATGTCGCTCAGTGCAAAGGCCCAGTACTAAAAGGGTATGTGTGTGTGTGTGTGTGTGTGTGTGTGTGTGTGTGTGTGTGTATGCACACGCATGTATACAAACTTATGTATGTAATTATTTTTGAAACCATTTGAGTGAAAATTTCAGATGTGGAATCCCTTCATCCTAAATACCTAATGTATAGATCCTAAAAAATTCACTGTCTACTTCAGAAACAAGGACAGTCTCCTACCTAGTTTTGGTTGATTACCAGTTAAGTACCTGCTTTATTACCCTCCAACAATCTGGGCTGCGTGGTCCGTTTCACTGAGCCCGCTCTACCTCCTTGCCAGCCTCTGTGCTTATCAGGTTACTCCGTTTTCTCGCTCCTCATTTCCAACAGCAGAGCCTGTCTATCCATGCCCTGTTGCTGATGGGTGTCCACTCGTTCAACAGATGTTTACAGGTGCTGGGGTCAAGACTTTATTGACTTCGCCTTCATCTCAGATTCGTTTTCTGGTCAGTGTTCTAGCCTCCCAGGAGACCAGGATGACTCCTAGTGATGCCAGCTTGCCTTCCTGTGCCCTTCCTCATTCCCCAACAGACAGGTGACTTTTCAATACCCCTCTCCATCAGGTGGAGACGATTGGGGATGCGTACATGGTGGTGTCTGGTCTCCCGGGCCGAAATGGTCAACGCCACGCACCAGAAATTGCTCGGATGGCCCTAGCATTACTAGATGCGGTTTCTTCCTTCCGCATCCGCCACCGGCCCCATGACCAGCTAAGGCTACGCATAGGGGTGCACACTGGTAAGGCTGACCCTCACCTAGCCCTGGGCTCCACCCTTCCCAGGCTCTCCCAACCTGTTTTGTCCCTTAGGACCAGTTTGTGCTGGGGTTGTTGGCCTGAAGATGCCCCGCTATTGTCTTTTTGGAGACACAGTCAACACTGCTTCTCGAATGGAATCTAATGGTCAAGGTGAGACACTGGCCTTCAGCTACTCTGTTGGCCTCAGTTTGTCTTGCTCCTTTTTTCTTTTCAGAGTTCCTCCAGATCTTTCAATCTAAGAGACCACAGTTCCTAAATTTCCTACCTTTGGGCACATTTTGATTCTAGGGAATATGTGTTGTAAAGACAGGGAGCCTCGGGGCTGGGGATTTAGCTCAGCGGCATAAGCGCCTGCCTTGCAAGCAGGCAGTCATGAGTTCGATCCCCGGTACCGGTAAAAACGAAAAAGACAAAAAAAAAAAAAAAAAAAAGACAGGGAGCCTCTCGGTTGGGTAAGGTGCTCTCCAGTACTATCAATTCTTCTGTTGTCTTTTCTCCGACTCTTCTTTCTACCATTCCTCCTGCCACCCTAGCCCTGAAGATCCATGTCTCCTCCACCACCAAGGATGCACTGGATGAGCTGGGATGCTTCCAGCTGGAGCTTCGGGGAGATGTGGAAATGAAGGTGAGGGCAGGCCATGGAAAGGAAAGGGAGGATGGAAGTGAAAGAGAGGGAAATAAAGAATTTGACCTATGTTCACTCCTCTGCCTCTAGGGCAAAGGAAAGATGCGAACTTACTGGCTCCTCGGAGAGCGGAAAGGACCTTCTGGGCTCCTATAAACTCCATTTCATCCCAAGTCAGGCAATCTCTTGCTGCTGGTATGTGGATGGTCATAGCTGCCATCTCTCCACCACCAGAAACAGACGTTATCACATGAGGTGGAAATGTGCACAAAAAGCCTACTCATGTGGAAGTTGAAGCCCTCTGCAGCTCAGCCTTGTATATATACCTGTTCTTCTCTGACTTGGTTCCCTTCCTCCCTTCCTTCTGTAAATATCTGTATCTAAACCAGACTATTTTGGCCACATATAAAACAACAATAAGAAGTCATGGTGTCTTAGTCTGGTTTAGGGTGGCCTCAAAGAAATGCTATGCATTATGGACCCAATGACTCACAGAATCAATGAATTAGCAGTCTTGGGATGAGGGAGAACCATTTATGTAAAGCCCTTTCCTCAAGTACAGAGAAAATTAAGTTCCTCCCCAGCCACTTATCTAGGAAAGACAGAAATAGATTACAAACTCCACATCCCAGTTTCCCCCTCACCTACTAGACAGCAACTATTCTCTCATCAATACCCCTGCCCTCCTCTCTGACAGGCAAGGGAAGACATTTTACCCACTTGATGGGGGTAACTGTTGGATTCATAGGGCAAAGGCTGTCCCAAAGACAAGGGCACCGGTGTGGAGAAGCTGCAGTTCTTCCGGAATGGTGTGTCCAGTGTCCTGATGTAACTGACACCCTGGGGAAGTGCCAGGATGAGCACACATCTCACCCTCCCCCACGCCACAACAGAACAGCCTCTGCGCTGCTTTCTTTCCTACCTCGTCCCCCCTCGTCCCCGATCACGTACCGGTAGCTGTGGTGCCCTTTGTATCCAGAAGGTTTCAGGCTGCTCCAGACTGTAGTCATGAGGCTGTTAGGGAGAGAGTTCTGCATAACTCCTGCCCTTTGGCCCTCATTCACAACAACTTCTGGGCTTGCCCACCTGTCAGAGCCCAGCTGAACAAGTGGGGTTGGATGGGTTCTCACCTTTGTTGGGGCAGGAGGCCCTGTTTGCGCCAGTTTCATTTGGTAGTCATGATGTGTCACTGACTGGACCTCAAAGAGCTTCCTTGGGGGGTCCTGCTCCGCCTGTACCTCTTTACTGTGCAGCCGTGGCAGCTGTCAAGGCCATTCTCGTTAAGGTTTCTCCTCCCCCTCCCTTACCCTTCCCAGTGTCTCACCAAATCTGGTGGTACAGAAGCATCTCCAGAATGGCTTCTCGCTTCCCTGTGGGAGGGCAGAGTGGGGGTCTGGTTAAGAAACAGATTTGAGAAAATGAAGTGAAGTCTTGGGATTTTCTTTATATCTATCAAACAATCCACAGTTCTTCCAGAAACTCTTTCCTCTTTTTTCTCTCCCTGATGGACTCATTCTGGCTTATTCACTCATGCTTTATACCTCGAAGAGGCTGACGTAAGTTTCTTGGAGGCTGGTATGAATCTTTCTGGGTGGTGGTGGAGGGCACAGGTGACTGTAGTATGCTCAGCAATCCTTGGTGCCCATGTCGGAAGAAGTAACTCTCAGAGCCATCTTTCGAGCTTGGAACTTGATCCAGGTGATTGGTGGCTCTCTGTGGGCCCCAGGTTGAGTGATTATAGTACCCTCCCACACCACAAACTTCACTCCCCTGGGAAGGTGGGATTAGCTTTCCTGAAAAGGAGAAAGCCATAAACTTAATACCTCTTCTTCCCAGTTGTAGAGGAGGCAACGCCCCCGTGATAATGGTCCATAGTGAAACTGAGGCTTTCCTTCAACATCTTGGGGCTTCCGTAGCCCTAGGGCACCAGGTTCTGAGACTTTGAGAAATTCCCAGCTTGGTTCTTTCGGAGGTTCCCAGTGGCAGTGGTGACTCCAGAAGATATTATCAGAGAGCAGATCTGACTTGAGATTTCTGAACCTCTGAGGAGTGCTGGGGCTAACCTCAGGGCCAGGGCTAGAGCCTGGGCCAGTCCCAGAGACAGGCCAAGAGCCTTGACCAGAGTCATGGCCAGGACCTAAACCAGAGCCAGGGACAGACCTACTGCCAGGACCAGGCCAAGAGCCAGGAACATAGCTACTGCCAAGCTTAATGCTGGAGACAGGCGCAGGGCCTCTAGAGCTAGAGTCAGTTACCTGGCCAGAGCCTGAGCTAAGGTCAGGTGTAATATAGAGATCCTCAGTAATACTGGAATCATAGGCGGGCTCAAAGTCAAGGCTCCCAAGACCTGCCTGGTGGGATCCAGCATATTTCGCCCTAAGACTGTCAGAGGAGGGCTCTGTGAACTCAGAATGGGACTCTGGGGTCTTTGAACATAAGGCAACTGCTTTGTTGATAGAAGCGGCTGCACTGGATGAGGCAGCTGATGCAGCCGCTGCAGCTGCTGCGGCTGCAGCTGTTAGGTCAGACCTAGAACCGACATCTGAAGAAAGAAACGGTTCTGAGATAGATAGTCCTTCGGAGCTGGGTTGGTCGTCCAAAGCTCTGAAAGAAAAGGAAGGTGTCACGGCCGGAAAGAGAGCAGCAGGAAGTCCGCTGACCTTTCTTGTCCCTTTACGCCTGCAGCCAGAGCTGCAGCTCTCACCCGGATCCCGATCCTTGGGATCCCTGCGTAGACTCTGTGGTATCCATCTTTCGGCACTACCAGGTAGCCATAGAGACGGTAACGCTTCTAAGAGCCTGCGCAGAACTATAGGGGGGCGGGGTGTAGAAGGTGGAGGCCAGCCCTCTGCCGGGCGGAAGTCTTAAACCAGGTGTGTACAGGGAGTCCTCTTTTCGGTCCCGACTTCATTCCTCTGCGGCCGCAGTTTTAAGGTTCCGCAGGTCTGAGGCCTCGACCTCCAGATCGGAGTGTGATTCTTTGCAAGTAAGGTGTCTATGGGGATGTACTGGAGACGAGCACAGGGCTGGAGCATCACACAAAAACTTACTTGGTGTGTTTGTGGCGGAACAGCAGTAGCTTCCCCTTACAATGCTTAGTTCATTTTCAAAAGTTGGGAATGGGAGTCTAAATTTTTTTTTAAAGGATGAAAATACATGAAACAGTTAAAGAACAAAACAGGGAGACTTATGGAGTATCATACAGGTAGATTTTGTGTATGTGTGATTACTTTTCCAATAGGAGACTGTTTTAATTATATTAACTACTCTTCTCTCAATAATTTGTGTGACTTGGTTTGGCTTCTAGGTAAGGGCCATGTGGGTTTCAGTCTTTTCCTACTCCTTCTGGTTCATTCCTTTTGTACAAGCGTGACCCAAGACGAACCACTTATGCAGCAGATCAACAAGCAAGTAATGCATTTGCCCTGTCTAACATCAGTTTGGTCTCTTTAACCACCAATGGGCCTCCTCCATATGCTTTTTTGTTTTTTTTTTTTTCATGGTACTGGAGATTGAACTAGGGCCTTTACACTGAACTACATCCCCAGCCCTTTTTAAAAATATATTTTTGAAATAAGGTCTTCTGGGGACTGGAGATTTAGCTCAGCGGCATAAGCACCTGCCTTGCAAGCAGGCAGTTGTGAGTTCGATCCCTGGTACTGAAAAAGACCAAAAAAAAAAAAAAAAAAAAAAAAAAAAAAAAGGTCTTCCTTAAGTTGCTAAGTTGGCAAGGCTGGGCTCAAATTTGGAATTCTCCTGTCCCAGCCTTCCAGTCTTTCTGCATTGCTGAAGAAAATCATGGCCCTAAATTAGTTTTCTTTCCTTTTGTGGTATAAACCTTTTGAATATTTAAGACAAGGATTCAAAATTGAAGAAGAATAGATTTATTAACATCACAGTGTCCCTTCCCCATCCAGGCTTTCAGGTCTGCGGTCCTTGCTCAGTTGGAAGGTTCAACCTGGAGGCCACTGGAGCTGTCGGCCTCCCAACACGTGAATGTGCAGGTGATATACAGATTGTGCGCCCAGCTTTCCATCATTAATCACTGAAATGGAGCTTGAGGTTAGGGGGCCAGGGTCATGGGAGAGGTTGGAATTCAGGGGTGAGGAGCCCCAGTCACTCACCAAGTCGGTACCCATCTCCCAGACCCTCAGCCTTTGCTATCTTCTTGGCCACAAGGAGGAGGTGTCCTAGAAGCTACAGGGAGCAGGAAGGCAGCTTCACTCATAGGGAACAAAAGCTCTAGCTTGGTCCATGGTTCTACCCAGGCAACCCCTGACCCTGATCTCCCCACCTGCTGATCTTCTTCCTCAGCCTGGCTAATTCGAGGAATGGGCTTCTTAGGAATAACCAGGAAATGCACAGGAGCCTGTGGGGCCACATCACGGAACACGAGACACTGGAAGCAGTGACAGGCCAGAAACCATTATGTTATTTTTATAAGGCCAGATGGTATTTATGAAATTCCTAAAGGGCCGGGTCCTAAGGGGACCCCACCTGCTGGTCCTCATGTAGAATGTCAGCTGGGAGGCTTCTGTCCAGGATACGAGAGAAGATTGTTGGGGATGCTCCTCCAGGAGCTGCCTGCTGGGCCTTGGCCACTTCATTCCCGTCAGTCATACCTGCAGCTCCTCGGACCTAAAGATGGGTCAGACACACCAATAGGGAAGAGTTGGCAGTCCCTGTGTATTCAGTAGAAACTGGCTCCGATAGTGACTAATTGCATCCTTCTAAGAATGTATTAGTGGTTCCCACCCAAGGAGAAAGTTCCTGAATTTCATTGCAATAGCAGGAGAGGGTAGGGCACATGGTACCGGGTCTGTTTGGATAACAACCATTATTACTATGCAGGATTCAGGTGTTCAACTGATTCCTGCTAATGTGTCTATAAAATATAGTACTTATCAGTGAAAAGGATCCAGAAATTCTACTATCAAACTACCTCAAACCATTTTTCAGCTTTGAAAATAAAGGGGTAGTTTGCATCATCTATTAAACGAGTTGGAAGCACTTCCTGTATACCTTGTCAGTTTTCATTTTTATATTCCTTGCTTTTTGATCTGTTGCCTTATTTTATTTTTATTTTAATGCATTTGCCCTGTTTGACATCAGCTGATCCCTCTTTGGGTGTCACTTCTGACCTCTTCCTGTGGGTTTTTAACTCTAGAAAACTTCAATCAGTGGCGTTGTATGAGTTCAACTAAGTGCACTCAACTCCAGGGGATTAGAGGTAGGGTTGTCCCAGTTTCCATGAACTCAGAGAATGCTAAAATCAGTGCATCACATTAAGAAAGGACGGAACGAATTACGATTTCTCTGACTCTCAAGACCCTTCAGGAAAGTGGTGAGGATCAAAGGTTAACAGTGGTGCTTATTAAAAGGCTAGAGGGCCGAGCCGGGCAGAGGGCTGGCTACAAGAATAGAAAGCTCACTATCTGCAGGGAGCATTGACGCTGCCCAGAAGTGGCAGCGGGCCTGCAAGGCTTCAGGCAAGCTGGAGGCGCCGCTGCAGCACCGACCCTAACCGGACCTCGGCGTCCAGGCCTGTGCAGAACTGGCGGTCAAGGCGAGTTCACTGCTGCCGCCACCACCAGTGGCGCGATCTCACCGCGCAGTCCCACAGCTGGATCCTCCGAGATGGGCAGCGGTTCCCAGAGGCTGCTGGGTTGCGGGCACCATCTGAAGCCGGGATGAGCGCGGGCTCCCGCCTGTGAGGGCGGTGGAGCTTGCAGGACCCCGTCCTCGCCCCCGCAGCCATTCTCACCTGCAACCTTCGCGCCCCCGCGGCTGCAAGGGCTCTGTGCACCGCGCGGAACCTGGCGGCCAGCACCATTGCCGCAGCCATTTTCCTGGCCTGCAGGAATTGCTCACCTCGCCCGCTCGGCTCAGCTGGTGGCGGGAGGTGGGCTCATTGGGCCACTTAGGCGGGCCCTACCATCCCATTGGAGCACGGCCCTGGGCACTAGTCGTCATTGGCTCCGCTGCCATTTTAGGGCGGAATCTTTCCTTCCCATTGGCTGCTTTTGCCAACGCAGTGCCAATTTCCCATTGTCGGCTTCTTCGTGCAGGCAGTGTGAAAGTACGTTTTCCATTGGGTCCCTTAGCTTCACTGTGACGCAAAAGACCAAGAATTAAGAAACCTCAAAGTGGTGTATTCTAGTTGGCTGCGATTCACAACCTTGGCTTCAAGTTGAGGCTGAGTGGCGAGGCTCTCTGGTTCTCGGCTTTTCCTTTTACAGCTTCAGTTCCTACTTGTGGGCTAGAGGAAGAGGGCAGGGTTTTCTTACCTGTATTTTAGACCCTTTCATTGCACCAGCTAGGAGAGCAGGGTTCGGAGGACACTGGGCGCTTATTGGCTGCAGGGACCACTTGGGCGGGTCTAATGGTGACCGGTGGCTGAGTCTTTTTCCACTGGTGCATAGGTAACATTTTCTCCGCAAGGGCAGTTTTCGATCACCGTCCCAAAGATTGTAAAGGGCAACCCCTCCTCAATTTTATGCTTTAACACGTTCGCTCCATACAGTAAGGATTATGCAGTGTCCAGGGTAGTTTTTTCATTTTTTAAAGATCAGTGAGGATGGGAGCGTCCTATTTTTGCTACACTTGTAATAAGGCAAAGGAAGAAGGTATCCAGTGTTCTTTTCAAAAAAGGGGATGTGATACATTTTCTTTGCGCGACGTTTACTCTGCTGAAATTTTTCTTTTTGACATTGGTGGCCTACGCCTGTAATCCCAACACTTCGGAGGCTGAGGCAGGTAGAGCTCTGCGAGTTGGAGGCCATCCTAGGCACATAGTGAATTCAAAGCCAATCTGAATTACATAGTGAGACACTGTCGGAAAAACAAAACAGCTGGGTGGTGGCGCACGCCTGTAATCCCAGCACTCGGCAGGCTGAGGCGTGAGGATCTTGCAACTTCGAGATCAACGTGGGCTACAAAGTGAACTCAAGGCCAGCCTGAACGGCATAGTGAGACCCTGTCTCAAAATAAATATATATTTTAAAAATTTTTTTAAATTAAAAAAAAAACCAACAAAACCCCACAATCATATGAAACATAATGTCACAAAGACACTAAGACCAGGTTAGTTTGATGCTTAACATGTAGGATAATTTACCACTGTAACTTTTTTTTTTTCTTTTCTTAGCTCTGGGAATTGAGCCCAGCACCTTCCATAGAGCTATATCCTTTTGTATTTTGAGACAAGTTCTCACCATGTAGCCTTGGCTGGCCTTGAACTTGCAGCAATCCTCCTGCTTTTGCTTCCTGAATGCTGGGATTACAGGGATGCAGCATCCTTCCCTGCTTCCTAGCCCTTTCTGAGATAGATTCTCATTAAGTCACCAAATTACCCAGGGTGGACTTGGACTTGCACTCTTGCCTCTGCCTCCCCATATTGCTGGGGTTGTGGCATGTTCCACCATGCCTGGCTGGGTTTGTTTCTTAAACACATGGCTTGACACATATAAATGCTCAGTAATAGTTGGATAAATAACATTTGATGTTTTATTCCTTTCATAATATAGAATAACATGCATGGGGTATTATTTTCTTTTTTTTTTTTTTTTGTCTTTTTCGTTTTTATCGGTACCAGCAATCAAACTCAAGACTGCCTGCTTGCAAGGCAGCTCAGCTTGCCGCTGAGCTAAATCTCCAGCCCTATTTTCTCATTTTTAAAAAATTTTCCACTTATAATCAGTTTCCCATCATTACTTAAGTCTATGAAAATGTACTTTGTAATGGCTGCATGCTTTTTTTTTTGGTACTGGGGATTGAATTCACCACTTCACACTTAACAGGCAGGCACTTATGCCGCTGAGCCCCACATACTTTTTTTTTTGTTGTTGTTGATTTCTTTTTCTTTCTCTCTCTTTTTTTTTTTTTTTTAATATCGGGAATCAAACTCAGGGCCTTGCACTTGCCAAGCAGGCACTGTTCCATTACTACATCCCTGGACTGCACACTATTTCCTTGAATGGATTTATCAGAGTAACTCTTTGTCTATTGTTGACTATTAATTCATTTAGGCGATGTTATCAGAGTACACATAACCAGTGTTGAGAAACTTTGCTTCTCGAGTTAGCAAATCCCTACGGTTATATTATTAAAAAGTCCTTCCTTCTCCAAAGGGTCTATGTTTGAGCCTGTGATTTTGCCTAGGGTCCTTGCAGCCCAGGCTGCTCTCCCTGTTGGAAGGCAGATGCCTCTCTAAATGCAAGGGGATGGAGAATGGCCTCTTCTCTGTTCCTCTGGGTCACTGGGAAACTCTAGAGCTGCCTTGGAAAAGGGGAGGGGATGGTGGAGCTGGGTTTTAGGAAGGCAAACCAGCTGGAGGGATAGAGTACAAAGCGCTTGGAAGCCTCATAGAGACCAGGCAACATAGGTTATTCCTGTTCAGCAGATGCAGAAACTGAGGCCCGCGGAGGGAAAGTTTTTTCCCAGAGTCACCGGGCCCACCAGCATAAGAAGACTCTGTTCCCGCTCAGTGTCGCCTGGGACTTGATCTGCTGCAGATCCGGGCTCAGGTCTTCTCTGTTCCAGCAGCCGCTCTCCTCCAGAAACGGCGCAGGCTTTGCCGCCCCTCTGTGTTACTACACCTGCTCAGGGCTCCTTAGACACTGCTGTTCTTTTGACTGCTTTTTGTTCATGTTATTTGCTTCCTGGCATCACTTTCCTTCCTTATTTGTGTTATGCACTCTCTGTATCCTCATGCCTACTTCTTTTATTTTCCTGATTGATTTCCCGACACCCCCCCATCACCACCCATTAGTCTACATGTTTTGCTCTTCTTCTCTAACTGGCTCTTACTTCTGTGTCCTAAATTACCCAGGACTTTCTTAAATACCCTGCATTAATCAGCCCCAAACGCCAGTCATCTTTCTCTTCCTGTCTTGTTTCCTACTCTTGTCCTCGCAAGGGAACTGCCACAATTTCCTGTTCCCTGAAGCCTACTGAAGGCTTCAAACTTTCTTCTCGATTTTAGGAAATAATTTTCCCCTGCTCTCCTCCCCTCCCCTCATCTCTGTTCCCCTCCCCTCTCCTCCTCTTTTCACTTCTCTTTAACAGGGTCTTGTTCAGTTGCTCAGGCAGGCCTTGAATTTGTGATCTTCCTACTTATAGGAAGCCTTATAGCAGCCTTATAGGTGTGAGTACTGCACCCAGCTGTGATGTTTCTTTTGTTAGAGCAATTTTCTTCACCTCTGCTTTGACTGTACTTCCTCCCTCTGGAATCTTCTCACCAGGAATTTCTCCCTTCTCTGCTGCATCTTTCAAGCACTTTTTGTCTACTGGTCTCCCCCCCCCCCCAAAAAAAAAAAAAAAAAAAAAAAGCTTCTTTAATTCCACAAATCACTCGTTTTAGATATTTTGTGACTTTTCTCCTGCACATTTTGCCTAAGCTTTTTTTTTTTAGACAAGGTCTTGGTATGCAGTTCAGGCTGGCCTGGACTCACTGTGTAGCCTAGGCTGGCCTTAAACTCCCAGCAATCCTCCCTGAGTGCTTCCACCACGCCCAGTGATATACCTAAGCTTTGAGCTTGTTTTTGGTACTGGGGATCAAACTCACACCTTGTGTTTACCAGGCAAGCACTTGAGCCCCGAGCTAAGTCCCCAGCCCCTTACTCAAGCTTCTTGAGGAGACTCCAGACTCACTCCTGTTTGGCTTTTGCCTCCACTGTACTAGTGTGAAACTGTATCTCTGAGGTCTCCAAAGAATTTCTAATTGCAGAATCCAATGGGCACTTTTCAATTTTGATCTTAGAGAAGCCCCAGCTATACCAAAGATTACTTCTCACTCTATCCTTGCAAGTTCTTCCCTCCTTGACTTTCTTGAAGCCATTATGTTTCTCATGTCAGAGCCAGCAGTTTAAATGTGGGTGGGATGCAGACAATGGGTCCAGCATTTGTTCTGCCTGCTGGTGCTGTCTCTTGCCCCCAGTAAGTGCTGACTAACATTTTACAGTGGGTTGTGGCTTTTCCTGCTACATTCAGAGCCAGGTCAGAGTCTAGTGACTTTCATTTTATTGCTGCTGTGGCTGGGCTCAGAAAGGCCTGTGCTAGTTGTCGACAGTATTTCTTCCTGGAGGAAGGAAGAACAGAAGTGAATGGGTCAGATATGTGGGCCAAATTTGGGGCCAGGCTGGAAGCCAGATGGGCCAGGAAGTGCAGGGGAACTTGGATGGGAACTGGGATAATCAGAAAGCCCCTGCACCTGGAGGGCCTCAAAGTTAGGATGGTGGCTTCTTGAAGGACAGGAATGTCAGCAAATGATACACAGTCTGCTCCTGGGGGTGGAAACCAGTGTGGAAAGGGATGCGGAGGGTGGGCAGTGGGAGTGCAGTAGTGCTGGAGGAGGTGGCTGAGGGTGGATGGGTTTTTCTGCCTAGCCTTTTGAGCATGAATGCTGGCTGTCCCAGGTTGCTGCCTTACCATGAGGCCTCCTTCCTTTTCGTCGTCGTCCGGTCTCCTCCTTCTCAAAGAAAGTCTCATGTTCCTCCCACCTCCGATCACAGGCCGCGCAGAGGAAATTAGATTCAAAATAGTTGCAGAAACAGCCTGGGACAAAGGGACAACTGAGAAGAACTGGGGTGCTCTATGGAGTGACTCTATGCTTATCTCTTCCTTACCTGCCGCGTACCCCAGTGTCTCCTACCAGCCCCCACCCTTGAGTCCAGGCTGTGTTCTGTATCCCCCCCCCACTCCCACACCCTCCCTGCACTGAAAGTTACCGTGATGCCTGCAGGGATGGGCTCCGTTGGCCGCGTGGTCTTCGTGGCTGTGTTTGCAACGACATTGGGCCCTCCAGGCCATGGGGTTGAAGGTGGCTCGTCTCCTGAGCCAGAACTCACCCACCTCCTCTGGGCGTGACGGAATGAAGCAGAATATGAGGCAGCGGCACTGGCTCACAGCGCAGGGCACAGATATATCTATGGGGTGGGATGGGTGTAGGATTTGACCAGAACCTTATAGCATTTAGTCTTCCCCACCCAAACCCCTACCTATAACTTGAACCAACCCCACCCCCGCCCATACATCCCAAGACACAACGGAGTACAGCTGTGACTCCACTCTGGAGAGGGTGGTCACTTCTCCCACACCTGAGATGATCTGGTGTTGTTTCAGCAAGTGTCCACAAAAGCACTTGGACTCATCCCCAATTCGGTAACAGTCCCATAGGTAATGTGGACAGCGCCAGCCAATATAGAGACCTAAGTGCAAGAGATTAAATATACAGTGGAAAATGAGAGAGAAACATTTTAAACTCTGCCCAAGTGTTTTGATCTAGCCCCTCGGACGGGGAGCGGGGCTCACAGCTACTCCCATGTACATTTATCTCCAGCCAGCCGTCCTCACCTCTGCCCCTTAGGCTCCTTTTCCTCAAGGTTTTGTTATCCCCTAATTGTCTTCAGTTCCCTTCCTATCCTTTGATCCACCCCATGTCTGCCAGCTCTCAGGGTGACAAGATAGTGTTCAGCTTGAGTGAGAAGACAGTGAAATTTTCTTTGAAGGTACTTACTAAGTTCTCTGTGACCCCATGGTTTCTCATTGCCCTCTCCACACTGGAGCCTGACTTTCCTTAAGCATCTATGGAGAGGGTGAGGGAAGCTGACTGGCCAGGTGTGCCACAGATGAGGGGACTGGCTCCAAAAGAGAATGGTTAGTGAAGGATTTCCTCCTGAAAACAGCCACAACATTGGGCAGCCCTGGTTTCAAGAGGCAGAAGGAGTACTTCCCTCACTTCCCCAGGAGGGCACAATGGTACATCTCTCCTGTGTCCCCAGTGTTGTGGAATTAGTGCCTTCTGTGCACCTGACAAGGGCTGCCTGTGGCTCTCCAACAGTCAGGAGGAGGAGACGGGTCAGAGGTCATGGCTGGTTGAGACCAGAAAATATCAGTTTTGAGGCTAAGAAAAGAGGCAAAGCAAGGCAAAGTGAGGTTAAGTATTTCTAACACAGGCCCCAGAAGGAAATTGGAACTCTTGAGAGCCTGGTTTTAGTGATGGGGTCTGAAACTGTCCAGTTCTGTGGCCAGTGTCCACATGTGGCAAGGGTGGTACTATGTAAACATGACAGGAAAATGAGACCACCTCCTCCTCAGATTTTCTCATTCTCCGTGAGAGCAGAGACTGTCCCAGCTTCTAGCCAAGAATCCTGTTTGAGTCCCCATAGAATGAGACTTGGAGTTGTGGGACTCATTATTATCAATTTGAAATTTCAGCTGGGACTCATCTCTTCCAAAATAATTGCCCCTGACATCTCCTGCCTGCTAGGCCCCATCTCTTCCCTTTTCCAGCTCCTCATACTTCTCACATTCAGTGCATTGTGATAGACCATTCACTTGTATGCCCATTAGTCTATGAGCTCCTCAGGGAAATATGTTTTCATCTAATATCTCTAACCCGAGCACAGAACTTGGCACAAAATAGATGTCCAGAGAACACAGACTGCCTGACTGAATAAAGGAGTGAGCCAACTCCTTCATGAGAGAAGAGAGACCCAACATTCTAGGTGTAAACCTGGTGTCCCACAGGAGAATGAGAAAGAATCTGGTTTTTGACTTTAGGCAGGATCATAATTCACAGTTTTGTGCTTCAGGCCAGGTATTCTTACCCATAGTTTTTCAGGATCTAGGAGCCTATTCAAATGTGACTTTTGGCTTGGTTGCTTTGATCGTGATACCGACAACTTGTAGTACCAGGGCCCTCGTATACCAGGGAAGTTAAGTATTGGTTGAGAGCTCAAGGTACAGGCAGTGTCATAATAGGGGTGGATGGGAGCCAGGATTCCACTAGAGGAATTCTGAACTCTGTCTAGAATGGCAAGACAAAAGGGTTATGCAGGTAAAGTACAGAAGTGAACAGTTTATGCCCATAGATAAGAGTCTATGCTCACTGATCAAGTCTAAGTACTGGTATGGAATCAGTTCTCAGTGTTTAGATGAAGAGTTTTGAATAGGGAGACCAGCACTAGACCTAGGAATCTATTCTATTATTCTATTCAGTGCTTTTCAAGAAGGAAAACTGGTATCTGGCTGTAGATTACATTCTCTGCCTTGCCCCTTTCTATGATAAGTGGACAAAGACTAGTGGGAAAGACATTATCTAGGCCGTCACTCTGACTGTAACGCAGTCCAATTGCATGATTCTGCAACTGCACTTTTATGATAAATCTCTATGTTGAGATGTCTCTACACAACATGTAGCTGTCTTTATAAGAAGGAGGTCTCTATCCCAGACCTCTTTCTGGAGCTTCCGCCCAGCTGTCTACCAGGCTTTTTCAGGAGCATGTGCCTGAGCACTTTTAACATGTTATGTCCAGCCTTCCCTCCAAACCCAGTCCTCATCTCTGGCTGTTTCTTCATCCAACACATATTTATCTAGCATGGACCCTATGTTAGGCACCATTATCTAATCAACTATTTAAACCAAAAGCTTAGGTGTTGGTACAGACATTTTCCATTCTTATTACACACATCCAATAATTCAATAACTTTACCTTGTTAGCATTTTGTGAATTTGTCCACTTTTCTCTGCCTACCTACCTCTTACCTGATTACCAGGGCCTCTTGGTGTAGTCTGCCTGTCTCCAACCTTGGCTTCCTCTACTCTGTTGCCAGAGTGATCTTCCAAAAACACAAATCTGTTCATGTTTCTGTGCTATTTAAAATCTTTTAGTGATTCTCAGTTGCCTTCAGGGTATAATCCCAACTCTTTCATCTTGGCACAAATATGCCTCCACAAATTCTTCCTTCCAGAACTGAGCTGGCTGCTCCCCCTCAATTTCTGTAGGCACCAGGCATCCTGCATTGATTGCTACAGTGTCTTAGGATGTCTTGTCTTGTCATATCTCACCCTACTCGAGTTGGTCCCTTCTTCTCACCATCTTACAGATATCAGCTGAGCAGTCTTTCCTTCTAGGGCTTATTCCTTTAGACCCCAAAATCCAGTGCTCCTTTTCTTTGCTCCTGCAGCACTCTGGGTATAACATTTTTTTTTTTTTTTGTCTTTTTCCTTTTTTATCGGTACCGGGGATTGAACTCACGACTGCCTGCTTGCAAGGCAGGCGCTTATGCCGCTGAGCTAAATCCCGAGCCCCTATAACAATTATTGAAGTGAACTGTAATTGTCCTTTTACTTATTGGTATTGGCTTACTAGAGTGCAAATTAGTTGAGGGATTTTGTCTTTGAAATCTCACCAGCCCTACCATTTCTACAACTAGCTCAAAGCCAGCATACATTAAATGTTTGTTGAAAGAATTTTTTAAAAAGCTTGCATTTGACATTTCTCTACACATCACATATACTGTTGGTGGAGTCTTGACTCTCCAAGAACTCAAGATTCCCTAACATTAGAAGGGGACCCCAAATATCTTTGTTCCAATGGAATGACACTTAAATTTTGTATGTGCTCCCTATTTTACCAGGAAAATAAAGACCTGCAATTCGAAGAAGAAGAAAAAGGAGGAGGAGGAGAAGAAAGGGAAGGTGAAGGTGAAGGGGAATAAAAAGGGGATAAGGAAGGGGAAAAAAGACTACAATGGCCTTGAAGAGTAGGGAGTAGATAGGAGTCCAAGAAGAGAATTGTGGGCTAAAGAGAGCTGACAGTTTTAAGAAAACCAGCAAGAATAACAGAAAATATTAAAATAAGTAAAAAAAGCCATTTCATGCCCAAATTAAACAGAGAAATGAAGGAGGTCACTGTGTCCTTCTTAGCCAGGGGTACCGAGTCCTTGGATGAGAATAGAGAGTGAATTACACAGAACTGGGGAGGATATGGAACCACCTGTCTGTTCTTTAGACATTGCTATGTTCGAATGATAAGGGGGGGAAGGAAGTATGAAAGACCAAAACAAACAGAGTAACACCTTTCAGTCTGGATACCCCGGAACCCTCATAGTGGGCTGGGATGGCCTTCTTCCGAGGTTAGTGTCCCTGTAGGTGTGAGGTTCAGTAGCACAGGTAGGCATGCGTGTGTACAGGATAACATTGCTGACAGCTCGTCTGCACAACAGAAATACAGGCAAATATAGCAAGCCACTAGCAGGGCTGTCTGGGCTGAAACTTAGTCTCTTTGGTGAGATGACGCAAAACTTGGGTACCTAAGTGATCATGGATCTGGCATGCAGGTGACAGCCTTTATGGAATTCTACCAGACGAGCCAAGGCTCTTTGTTATATCCAGACAAGAAGTCTCCTTGAGGATCCTTGAGGATCCTCCTTTCCAGGATCCTAGCTCACCTCTGCCTGAGGGTCTGTCTGGTACAGGCTATCTGGGGCTTAGATTTGGCACTGGCTTCTGGGTCTCATCTTTTTAACTATCTGGGCTTTATATGATTCTCCTTTTTCTGTCAGTCCATGCTGATATTTTTGAGCTTGTTTCCTTGCTTCCCTTCCAGATTCTAGGCATGTGGCATGACCATTTCCACAAGGGGTAATTATTCATTGAAAGGCAGTTTCCCAGATCTTGTTGGTTTAGATGATGTCTGCAGGCCTGTTAATAGCACCTATCTGAAATGCCATCTGGGCTCACCTGTCTGGATGGCATTCAGGGCTGCATCCTTCTCCCACTGGAAAAGATGATTCACCTGAGCATCAAACTGTTCTCTGTGCATTGCTTTAGCCATCTCCACCAGATCTGCCTGCTTAGTACGGACCTCTGAGTGGTCTGTGTAACCTAGGAAGGGAGGGGCTGAGTAACCAAGGAGGGGTGTGAAGAGCCTCTAAAACTAAGACAAAGAGGCTAGGTGTGGTGACACACTCCAGTAATCTTAGCACTCAGGAGGCTGAGGTAGGAGGATTGCTGCAGGTTGGAAGCCAGTCTGTGTTACATAGTGAATTCAAGGCCAGCCTGAATTACATAGTGAGACCCTGTCTCAAAAAAACAAAAAAAGCTGGGCATGGTGACACAGGCCTGTAATCCCAGCACATGGGAGGCTGAGACCGGAGGATTACCATGAGTTTGATGCCAGGCTGGGCTACATAGTGAGTTCAAGGCCAGTCTGAACTACACGGTAGGCCTGTTTCAAAAAAAATCAAAAGCCAAACCAAACCAAAACATACAGAAAAATCCCTAAACAAAACAAATGACAAAAAACCAACCCCTCACAAGCCCATCCCCTAAAACAAAAGCAAACAAAAAAAGACCCAAGAGACATGAATAACTCAGATCTGAGATCTGAGAATAACTCAGATCTCTCCTCCTATACCAAAGATGGTAGACAGTAATAAGTATAAGGTAAAGGACAAAAATAATTACGGATAATTCCTTTCTTCCCCCTTCTCTTGCTCGGTGGGTGTCCAGGCCGGGTTATGTGAGCACTGATGTCACTGGTATCCAATATGTTCTCGTCTTCTCCTGCCTTTTCCTTCTGTTTTTCAGATGTGTCTATATATATGTGGGCTGAAGAGCCTGGAAAGGAGTGCTTTGGAAGGTGCTCAAATTCAGGGGCCTGAGAAACCTTCTTCATCCAAAAAACCTCCTGGGAAGAAGACTTGGCGAGGAGATCTTCCCTCAAAGCATCAGAGGGAGACTCAGAAGCACTGGCTTCTGATGAGGCCAGATAAAGGTTGTTTTTCTCTGGGATCTTAGAGTTGTCAGTCTTAGCCACAGGGCCTTCCAAAAGGATGTCAGAGATGGACTTTTCTAAAGAGGTCATGGGGATGGAAGGCATCAAAGCACTTTCAGAGGCTTGGGGTGATAAAGTGGTCTGGGAAGTGGATGGCACCAAAGAGGGTTTAGAGGTATGGGACTCTAAAGGGGTCTCAGCAGCAAGGGGCTCTAAAGCGGTCTGGGAGATGGAAGTTTCCAAGGGGCTGTCAAAGGTAGAGGGTGCCTGCAAGTCTTCAGCAGAGAGATCTTTTGATGAAGGGTGCTCTTTTGCATCTATGGTGGTGGTGATATCTTGCTCATCTGTGGTCTCGTCTGCTTCCATCTAGTGGTAGAATAGGGTACAGGCTTTATGAGGTTGAGATTGGAGAGGTCCTCAAATGAGGGCAGAGCCCTGGGTTCACAGAGGGTTACAGAATTAAGATAAGGCTTTATTGTACCTGAGACACAAGAGTTCTGGGTCTCAGAGTATGATACTAAGAGGCTCACCCATGTGCCCAGACCTCATGTGGCATTTTGCCTTCAGTTGTTAGGGAGTAGGAGCTTAAATAGAAAAGCTGAAGTAGTCAGAATCCCATCAGATGATAGCAGAGAACCATGCCTCAGAAGGAAGCCCAAACCCAGGTATTTGGACAGTCCAAAAGTAGGGCCCTAGCCACCTTGGAGGTCAGGCTTTGGAATCCCAGAAATTGGGAATAACATTCTAAAGTTGGGTTGGCTCCCAAATGGGAGAATGCCATGATGCATAAGGCAGGACCCTGCTTATAGTCTGGTTTTTGTCTAGGGATCACATACACCCTCCCTTGTCACTTACGTTCAAGGCTTCAACTAATACTGACACCTTCTAATTATGTATTTGCAGCTTAAACCTATTTTAACCCCTTGTACTTTAACTTCTTTCTGGACAGGCATCAAAACTTAACTCTGGGAATTATCCTAGTCTTTTCCTTGTTCATAGGCTCCCATCTTCTACTAGATACTAAGAATATATGATTTCTTCAATTTATCAGGGCTTTCTTGAACTTATCAGAGACTTGCTAGAGGAGAAGTTTGGTAAGGGAACTAGGATCATAGGTAGAGTTATGGGGTGGAAGGAGGCCTATCTGCTAAATACTAAAATACATTTTCTCTGCTCCTTTCCCTTCAGTTTCATTCAAGGTCTCATTACTTTCTGCTTACATTGTACAATAACTTTACCCTTCCATTGCTATCCTCATCACTATTAATTGATTCATCCATTCTTTTATTCATTTAGGAAACTTATAAAAAGCCTAATCTTACACTTTTACTTAGGCATTGTACTAAACACACGATTTGGTGGAGTTTGGGAGAGACAGCTAAAAATGGCAACACAAATGGACTGATGGTTCAGGAAATTCAGGATGCGGTGGAGAGGGAGTATACTTGATTTATCATGTAAGGATGTCCAAAAGAGTTAGTCTCCCATCTTGACCAGATCAAGATCTTTTCAAAATGCAAAGCCAACACTGCCTTCCCTTGCTTAAAAATGTTTAGTGGCCCTGCCTAAATGGTTAAGTCCAAATTTCTTGGTCCTTGCATTCAAGGTCTGTCATCATTTGTACCATCAGAGAATTCTTGCCTTCCCTGTTTTTTATCCCTATGTCCCCCCATGCTCCTGAGATACTATATACATCTTTTCTTACGTTCATCAGAGTCTTTTTGAATTCATCAGGGCCTTTCCAGAGTGGAAGTTTGGTAAAGGAATTAGGGTCAAAGGTAGGATAATGGGTAGAAGGTGACCAGTGTCAGCTACAAAAAAAGGTATCTGAAGGTAGAGAACCACAGTAGGGTGAGAGGAGAGGACTGAAAGGAGGGAAACGTGTGAGGGAGAGGGTAAGGTTGAAAAGTAGCCATGCAGGGACAGAAGGGGTGCATTGAAGGTGGGGCGTAGGAGATCAGGCTATGGAGTCCCAGAAACTACATACCTCTGGGCTTTGGCTTGGTTGCTAAAAGTCAGGTTGATAGGTCAGGCCGTTGGTCGGAGGGGGGAAGTGTTAGTTCAAGGCAGCTAACGTTCTTAGTTGTGGAAAAGCCGAGTTGCGGATGCTGAGAACTGAAAGGTCTTGCTCGAAACTCTTCTATCTGGGGAGACCTGGGCATCTGCAGATCGTCGCAAAGGATTCTGTCTGACCTGGGATAGGGTAGTAAGAGGGAAACCCAAGAGGGGTTTAGAGCCGATGAGGGAGGGCTTTGACTGAAACCTCTAGAACGTGGGTCAGGAGAAGAGGGTTTTGTCACCAGGACAACCAGAACGCCCAGTAGTCTTCATGACAACAGCAGTCTGGTCACTTCCCACGTGTATGAGGTTTCCTGGAGGGGGTTGTGTGGGACCTGTTTGGGGGTTTGAGCGCTTCTTTGGGAGGGAATTTGCGGATACTGTGGTACATCTGCGAGGAGTATGGGTTTGTGGGGGGTTCCTGTAGTTCTGTGGAACGAACTCTGAGAGGACTGAGACAATCTGAGAGGCTCGCAGGACTCTGTTTTTGGGGTGAGAAAGACAAGATATCAGGTCTCTGGGGCTGGGGCGGAGTCTGTCTTTGAAGCACCACAGGACTAAGTTTGAGGCCAATAGAACAATGCAGAAGGCGGGCTTTACTGAGAGGGACCAATGAAACTGCGAGAGGGGCGGAGCGTAATATGACGTCAGCTCGGGGCCGCCGCCGCGGGGCCTGGTTATCACCGGTTCAGCGCAGCCCGGAGTCGCCCAGGCCTGAACTCCTATCCAGGTCCCGGACGCAGGCCCCAGGCCCGCGAGGACACCGGAGGTCACCTCCCAGGGGTGGGGAGCGGAGTCGCGGGTCAGCGCTGCTAGCGCCCCGCGCTGGCCTGTTCGGCCCCGCCCCCGCCCCGGGCCATGGCCCAGCCCTTGTCCCGGCCCCTCGTCCTATCCCAATCCCAGCCTTGGCCTCCGGCCCCTCCCTCGCCCCGCTTCCCAAATCTGTCCCAACCCGGGCCTGGGTCCTTGCGAATGCTCAGGTCCAGGTCCCAGTCCAGACCCCCTCTGCAGTCCCGGTCCCTGGCCTGGCCCCCATCCTCGCCTCGGCCACTGTTCCACCCTCTGTCCGCAACCCATCCCCAGCTTTTGCTCACACCCCTGGCTTATCCCCGACTCTGGCTGCGTTCCCCATCACAGTCCCTCCTTCCACCACACTCTCTGCCCTTGTTTAAGCCTCTGCGCTCAGCCCAGCCCAACCCGTTATCTCACCCTTTGCGCTCGTCTCTGTGTTTGCCCTCTTCTCTCCCACTGGCCCCCCGCTCTTCTTTGTGTTTGCCCCCCTCTCTCCCACTGGCCCCCCGCCTCTCTCATACTCTGCCCCTCTCCCAGCCTCGACTCGGGTCTGGGCTCCAGCTGCCGCCAGCTCTATTGCTGCTGTTGCTGTTCTCTGTCCTTGGCCCTGGGGCTGGTGAGTGCAGAAGCAGGAAAGACTGAGATAAAGATGGGGTTCTGGCAGGGAGGGGTGGGCCGGAAAGATTCAGAAGAGGTGATACCCTGGGAGGGAACTAGATTAGTGGGGAAGAGGTGGGGAGAGAATAGAGGAGAGCGGATTGGCACCATCAAAAGTGGTAACAGGGTGTGTGAATGTGAATGTGGGTGTGTGGGCTAGGCTCAGCAGGTGGCCAGCAGACCCAGGACAGAGTCTTCATTTTGTTTCCAGGTGTCCATCCTGACCCCATTTGACTGAAACTTTATAGGGAAGTTTGGAGGGCTTTGGTCCTTCTGTTCTTAAAGTTTGCTGGGGGAGACATAGGCCCACACCATAAGCCTCTAGTCCAGAATGGGAAGATATGGCATAAACCTTTGAGAGATGGGTAATACTTTCTTTTTTTTTTTTTTTTTTTTTGTCTTTTTTCTTTTTATCGGTACCGGGGATCGAACTCACGACTGCCTGCTCGCGAGGCAGGCGCTTATGCCGCTGAGCTAAACCCCCAGCCCCCGGTAATACTTTCAAACAGGGTTAAGAAAATAGTTTGAAGATAACATGTAGCATGTTGTAGATGGCTGTAGAGTAGTTGTCATTATAATGAGTTTTCTTCTTGTAGTTAAGTTTTTTTTCCAAACAAGATTGATTTGCTTATAAATAATTCCTGATACTTTTAGATCAGGGTTGAACCTGAAAGGTCATTTTACAGATGGGGAAATTGAGGCTCACTGAGGGAGCAGTTTGTTTAAGGGCATACCACGTATAAATGGCAGTGCTGGGGCTAGAAAAATGGTCTCCTAACTCTTCTCCCATACTAGTGCTCCCTTCCCCCACTGTAGTTACACACAGCAGAAAACCAGACTCAGTGGGGAAAGTCCCAGAACAATTTCTTTTCTTTCTAGCCACCCTCAGGGGCTTCATTTACAAACTATTTCTCACTTGTCAGGTGTAACTATTAGTCCAAAAAGTCACTTGGCTGAGAGTGAGAGAAGTCCCACTCCTTAGTGGCTGGAATGAGGGAGGAGGGCAGGTAATGTGCCATACTGATGACCTCATCATGCAATGACTGGTCTTCTTAGCTTCAGCCTGCAGACAGCCCTGCTGGGCAGAGTCTAACCCTAACCCTGCCGAGTCTTTGGCAATAGGAGCTCATAGAGCAGCTGGAGTCAAGGCTGGGTTTTATTGAGCTCAGTGGGCCTTGTGCACTGTGCCGGCTTAGGATAGATGCACACCAATGGTCACAGCCTCTACAGAGATGTCTGGTTGTTTCTTTGCATGTGTGTTAACTGAGAGACCACTGGAATTCTGCCCTGTGCAGTGTACACACATGCTTGTGTGTTGATAAGTACAGACACGTGCCCTGTGTGTGGGGGTACCTGTGAGCTGGTGTGTTCTCTTGAGTGCCAGTGTTGTTGTTTGGGGGTGAGGGTGCTTGTGGCCCATGCACCTTCCTCTCCAGCTTTGCCTGATGCTTGTATGTTTTGTTTAGAAGTGGATAGTGCCTAGGTTGCAGGCTGTGTTTGGGTGCCTCTCCCAGCATATAGAAATAATCCATCTCTAGTCAATCTCCTGAAGAGAAGAAGCCATAGAGTGAGGGGAGGCTAAATGTTGATTACTGTTGCTGACAAATTGGGCACTCAGAAGAGGCAGTAGCCAGTCAGTTTTGGTGAAGAGAATCCATACTAATTAGACCAATTTATAGTTTTCATCTGTACCACTGTGGTGGCCTCTTGGTTCATGAACCCATTGAGCAAACACTGGGCTGGCAAGGGGAAAAAGGTAGCTAATAGTCACAGGGTATACAGATCTGAAAGTTATGAATACAGATACAGAAGCAAGTTTGGTGTTTTGGGGAGAATTATAATGAAGCTAGAAAAGAGCACTGTATAGGCCCAGCTATAGGCATGGTTGTCCTTAGTACTGTTAATCAGTGCCTTGGTCATTAGCTGCTGTTCGTATAGCTCTCTGAGGATTTGTACCGAGGGACTGACCAACATGTATCCTAACAATAGTCACGGCCCATAAGATGACCCATTCATGGTACTGGCAAGGAAGAGGAAGAGCAACTCTTTCTAATGGCCAGCAGAGGGTGCTCAGAACTTTATTTCTCGTAACACTAGTATCTGGGGTGTTCCACTCTTGACCTTTGGCTTCCCATGTTTCAGAGCTAGGGTTCCTGGAGAACCTGTCTTTCCCATCACCTGGTCCAATTGCCCTTATCCTTCGTGGATGCATCTCCACTGTTCTCCAAGTACTGTGCTGTTCTCCAAGTGCTGCCCTGTCTGAATTGCCGAGCAGTGCTCGGCTTATAAGTTAGCAGGTCTTCTTCGCTGACAGTTGAGACTGATTGTATAGATGGAACCAGGAAGAATAGTTGTTGGTGTAACCACAGCCATTGAGGAAAAGTGCAGACCAATCTAGGCTCACTAGCCTCCATCTATACAGGCAGCTGTTTGGAGCACGACTTGAAGTTACCCAGGTTAGTACATGGTTTTAGAACACCTTAACCAGTGTTCCCTCCTTCAGCAGCCATTCTTTGTCACTGTTATTTCAAACACCTAATTTTGGGGGTTGTATCTCTCATCTTCAGAGAGGGAGATCTTCATACTAGGTAAGCCCTGTGGATGTTTCCTGCTTGGCTGAAAACTTCCCTCCAAAGTCTCCCCTCTCTAGGTCCCTACTCTGTCCTGAAGGTAGTTGAGGCCCACCTCCTCACCTGGAGGCATGCCTTTGGGCCTCTCTAAGGGCTGGGCTGAAGTCTCCACTCAGCCAGAGTCCTCAGGGCTTTGTTCAGAGGCCCTTGCCTGCCTTCTGTGGCCCTCTTTTCCCATTCTGCCAAGTAAGCTACTGAGCTACTCTTAGCCCAGAAGTTCCAGTGCCCTGTGTTTGTCTGACTAGTGCATAACTTTGTGCTTGCTTCCCATTTCCCACTCTGGCCTGCACCAAACATTTCCCAGTGGTTTGAGATTCTACTGGGTCCCAAGTGACTGTCTCACCGGGCCTCCTTCTGCAGAAATGTCTCTCAATGCTTGCTCTGACCCTAGATGTTTGGATGACTTTTCCTGGGCACTCTTGTGGTGACCTGATAGCTCCTGTTCTTGCCTCTGCCACCCAAGCAGGCCCCTTGCAGCCTTACCACACCTTCCCCTCCCTTCTCCTGCCTTGAACCAGTATACAGAAAGCTCTTGTGAAGCTTCTGAGGGTTTTCGCTGCTTCTAACCACTGGGGAACAGAAAGGGGCAGAAAATAAACCAGTTACAGAGTTCCATGCTGACTCCCAAGCCCCACAGGTGGAGTTTTAGCCTGCTCAGTGGTTTAAGAGTTCATTCCAACACACACACACACACACACACACACACACACACACACACACACACACGCACTCTCTACAGGTCTGTTTTGTTAGGCTTGGTAAGAGGAGAACAGTGGCTCCTAAGCAAGGGGGCAGCTGGAGGTCATATAAAGGCTCATGATTCTGATTCCTCTGTTCAGTGTAGGTTTGTGCCTCAGTTTCTTTACTGCATAATTAGTATTTTTTTTACACAGGTCTTGGTAGAGGCAAAACCAGATGCTGGTTAGAGCAGCAGGAGACCCATTTCCTGACTGGGAGGATAGTGTTTGTGGAATTGGTACTATTTGTGAGGGAGACTGGTATGCCTGTTACCTAATGGAAATGCCCTCTTCTTCTTCTTCTTTTTTTTTTTTGTTTTTGTTTTTGGAAATGCCCTCTTCTTTACCCAGCTCCCTTTGCTTTCTCCTGCTTTCCAGGAGGCCTTTTCCTGACTGATTACTCTACCTGCTCCCCCCGCAAGCTGAGTCCTTTCCGATCCTTTGCCAGCACAGAGCTCTTCCACTTCCACATTCCTGAGGACACGTTCCTAGCTGTGTGGAACCTCATCATCTTCAAGGAGCAGGGGGGGACCTTTGGAGACCACTGCCCGGATCAGAGTGTGACTGTGTGAGTGTCTGCGTTGCACCTCAGTCCTCACTCCCAACTTGAGGTCACTTTCTAAATTGCACTGTGATTTACAAGGATCTAAATTGGCTTCCTGAACCTGACCTGGACCCTTCTCGAAATTGAAGTGTGACTGAATGGGGCTGTGACCTGTGTCACTTGCCTCTTTCTGACTACGGTGGTATAGCTGCAAGCTTTGAATTGATGTTTTATTCTTTATCTTCTGACCTCTGACCTGGAACCACTTTATTGTATCTGTCATTATAGGGAATCCACTTATTTTACTGATGATAAGTGGCTGATGTTCTCTTTTCTTTCCCCCGTTTTGTACCTCTCACCTTATTGCCTGCTTTTTTTCTCTCCTAATTCTGGCCCTATAGGTATTTCCGGTCTGGGGCACCCCCTGTCATCAATCCCCTGCACACGCACTTCCCAGGGGACACAGCCGTGCCTGGGGTTTTCTCACTGACCCTCAGCTGGACACTGCCTAACCGCACCTCAGGCATCTTTAATGTCAGCAGCCCCTTGCCAGGGGACTGGTTCTTGGCTGCTCACCTTCCCCAGGCCCACGGCCACATCTCTGTCAAGGTGGGTTGATGTTGCCAAGGGCAGAGCTGTTGAATTTCCCCACAGGCTACCTGGCACCCCAGCCGCGTGCAGGGAGGCATAAGGGTGGGTGGCATGGAGCATGGCTGAAGGCCAGCAGGTCACCTGGTGGGATGGTCTGAAAAAGGCAACCTGGGAGCCTTACAAGCACGTAGGGGATTCAGTATGCTGAAGGGAAAGTCCCAGAGTTCTGTTCCCGGGAGCAGCCTCCCTTCCTATTGAAGACAACAAGGGTCCATCGGGGTCGTTAGACGCCAACCAGGAAATGGTCAGTTTCTGCGCAAACCCTGTCCTGGTCTTGCTCTACATTTTGTTGATGCTATCCCTGAATTCTTAGTTCACAGCCCAGTCTCTGTCCCACTTCTCTTCCTTCAGTTTCAGACAATTCTCCTCACCTTGTGGTAAATCAGGAGAGAGGTCCCTTCCTGTTAAAAGGAGGAGGCTTTTGCAGTGGGTGTCCATCCTGACTGCTGCCTCTCTTTTCTCTAAATAACAGCACCGATTCAGAATAGAGATTATGCGAGTCTGAAGAACAGATTCACAGGTCAGGACGCTTCTCCGATTTGGAGGGAAAGGAAATTGCATAATGGATTCTTACTATTCTTGTTTTTAGACAGGCTGGGCTTCCTCCTTATAGTGAGAAGATCGTGGGTTTCCTGTTCTTGTTCGTCAGAGAAGGAGGAGTTAGGATGAGGTGGCCATTATCACAGTGAGGTGGCCATGTGTGTGAGGCCTGTGGTAAGAGTAAAGGGCCAAGGGTGAACAGAGTATATTACCGAAGAAGAGAGCTCGTGGGGTTTGGTAATTGAGAATTGAGAGGAGCAGAAATTTTCAACAGGTGGAGATTTGATTCTGTTATATATATATATCTCTCTCCAGGCTCAGTTTCCTGAGGGCAGGGATGCTGGGACCATGTTAGGCTCACTTCTCTTGCGGGTTTGGAGTAGGGGCTAATATTGCCTTTTATTGAGCTGTGATTTGCACAGGGACAAATGTATTGGCTCTGCTATTGGCAGGGATGTGACCTAAGGGTAGAGGTGGCCTCTGGAGGACTCAGTGATAGGCCTGTTTTTCCCAAGAGTAATGAACGAGAGGGCCTGAGAGCCTTCTTGATCATGCTGGGAACTCACCTGGAAAAGGATCTGGGCTCTAGATGGACCTTGGCTCACATCAGAAAAGAGTTTTTCTTTTTTTTTTTTTTTGTCTTTTCAAGACAAGGTCTTACTATGTAGTTCAGGCTGGTTTTGAACTCACTTTGTAGCCCAGGCTGGCCTTAACTCACAGCGATCCTCCTGTGTCAGCCTCTGAGTGCTGGGATTACATATACACACATACACACACACACACACATATGCATATGCATATGTTGTTTCTTTCACCTTCTCATGGTAGTGAGACAATACTGTGTTTACTGTATACTGAGTCTGATTTATTTCACTTATGAGTATGGTCTCAAGTTGCATCCAGTTATCTATAAAAGTCTCCAGTTTACCTTTCTTTATGACTGAGTACTCCATTATATAAAAATACCACATCTTTTTTATCCATTCCTCAGTGGATGGATATTTAAGTTGTTTCCAAGATCTGGCTGTTATAAATTGTGCTGTTATAAACATGGGTCCACATATATCCCTGTGGTATAGTATTTTTTTTTTTTTTTGTCTTTTTTCGTTTTTATCGGTACCAGGAATTGAACTCATGACTGCCTGCTTGCAAGGCAGGCGCTTATGCCGCTGAGCTAAATCCCCAGACCCTGGTATAGTATTTTTAATTCTTTTGGAAAGATACCTGGAAAGGGAATAGGTGGATCAAATGGGGCCTCTAGTCCTAGTTTTTTTGGAATCTCCACACTGATTTCCACAGTGATTGCACTAGTCTACACTCTCACCAGCAGTGGAGAAGGGTTTCTTTTTCCTCACAGCCCCTCCAGCATTTGTTATTGGTTGATTTCTTGATAATTCTTTCTGGAATGAGGTAGAATCTCAGTGTTGTTTTAATTTGCATCTCTCAAATGACCTGTGATGTTGAATGTTTTTTCACATATTTATTTGCTGTTCATATTTCTTCATCTGAAAAGTGCATATTCATCACAGATGCCAATTTTTGGATTGGATCTTTAAATCTAGGAGGACTGATTTTTTGAGTTCTTTATATGTTCTTGATAGTAATCTTTTGTCTGAGGAACAGCTGGCAAACATCTCCCACATTGTGGGTTGTCTCTTCACTCTTTTGGTGGTTTCTCTTGCTGTAGCACAGTTATTTTAAATATTATCTATGAGTTAATGTCTTCTAAGAATAGTCAGCCAATACTAATTTCTTTGAATATCAAACTTTATATCCAGCTGCTTGACATTTCCAATTGGTTACCTAGAAATTTATTGAGCTTAGTATGTACAAATCAAAGTTACAAGTTAAAAAAAAAAACTCTTTGATTTCTATTTCACTTTTTCCAGTCTAAGCCTCTTTTTTTCCTTTTGATGTCATTTTCTCAGTATAGGGCACTGTCACTCACCACTTGGGGAAGTCTGAATTTAGGGTCATTCTTGATTCTATTTTCCCCTTGTTTCCCCACAGCTAATCCACAGCGTCCTGTGTACTCTTAATTCTGACACACGCCCCAAATGCATCTACTCTCCATTTCACTCCGAAGACACTGTCCCTCAAATTCTGCTGGGTTGCCACGTAACCTTCTGAATGGCGTTGGCTTCCACCCCTGCCATCATTTACCTCCACGCTGGTTGGTGCGAACTGGCACAGGAGCTGGGCACTGGGTATTCTGACAGAGAAGGCCATGTATCTGTGGGAATCTTCAGTTTTTAAAAGAAATCCCACTCGGAATTCACCTGCCCTGCCTCCACACAGGATCTTTCAGACTGTTTCCCATCCACTAATTATTTTTGCTGTCTGGTTTCTTAAGCTTCCTTGTTTTGGCCCTGTTTATTCCCTGGCTGCTGATGACTTTGCCTGTTGACTCAGTTTGAACTCTGACTTGTCTTTTGCCCTGTAGCTCTTGAAAATCTGACGTCTGGTACTCTTTCTCTGTCCCACCTTGGGGTGAGGTCCCTGTACCCCTAGTATCCCCCCTGATTTCTACTTATGTTGAGGGAAGGGTCCAGCTATGCATGTTGTACAGTTGAAGGAAGGAGGACATCTTAACTAGACTTCACATCTTCCAATCCTTTATGGAAGCCAGCAGCAGTAAAGTGTGGAACAGTGTTTCTTCCCCCAGAACTGTCTAGCAAGGAGACAAGCCTGAGCATACAACCCTCTCCCCGACCTTGGGATTCATTCACTGCAACATTATGGGGATTTCTGCCTTAGGGAGGTTGCTGAAATGTCATATGAAAGTCTTTCTTTTGTTAGATTTTGGCACCATTGCTGAGGGATATCTGTTTTGGATATCAGACATGGAAGTTTCTGAGCAAGTAGGCTTGTTCAGGAGCTCTCCAGAAGTGTCCTCTTCTTGACATGTATTCTTTAACTCAGCAGCTATTTTTTCCAGAACCAGATGGTATGGTAGGCACTTGGAAAGCAATGATAAAAAGACACAGAATGGTTTCAGGAAGAGGATCCTGAGATCTTCCAGCTCGACATATTTCAAGGCCTCCTTCCAGCCTCGTGGAGTGTTGCTGGAAGCCAGTGCCTTGGCTGGTTTGTTTCATGACATGCGTCTCAATGAGGACTTTTGTCCCAGAACAAGGCGTGGAGGGATTTCTTGGTCAGAATAACCGCATAAATAAATCGTAGTCTGTAGTTTAGTAGGCTAGCTCAAAAGCCATTTTTCCAGTTTAGAGAAGCCTAATTAGGGAACCTCTCTGTTCATAGCTGTTAGGGTTACTGGCTTATGTAGCTGCACATGCTGGAGAAGCAGCACTGTGACAGCTGGCACTTTGCTTGGTGGAGAACAATGAGTCTGTGGGTTAGAGGTGGTGTTAATAACACCACAGGGAAGGGCTGCTGAGTTTGTCTAGGACAAGGAAGGCCAGGGAAAATGTGATGGTTGTCCTCTAGCATCAGAGGAACACTCCAAGACCAAGGAAGCATGTATATCTGCAGGTCTTGAGGGCACAGTGGTGGGGTGGCAACAGAGATGACAGGTTTTGGCTTTGTAAAGGTCACAGTTGTGCCCTGCTGGGCTGATTCCCTTAGCCGTTCATTTTGAACTTATTCATCATAGTTTTGCACATAGTGTTAAGCCCTATGTCTGGAGGAACAAAAATAAGACAAGGTTCTTATTCTGAAGTTAACAGTTTGTGAGGTTGACTGGGACGTGATGAGTGGGCCTCACTGAGTGTGTCAAAGCAGAAGCTGCATAAAACATGTGAAAGGGGCAAAGTGGAACATAAGGTGGAGATACAGGAGGGTGGGTTGGAGGCCTTGAAGGAGCTTTCGAACTCCTGTGGCAGAGCTGGTGTTCTGGTGGCGAAGAGGTGGTTTGAGGTTTACAGTCATGTAGGGCTGGCCAGGGATGCTCAGGAGGAGAGGCTGGCTCGGGAGAAAGGGCCAGCAGAGCCTGACTCCCCAAACCTCACTCAGTACTGATGATAAAGGCGGACCTTGCAGATTTTGGCAAGACAGAAGTGGTCAGGAGTGACTTCTCTGGCAGAAGGATTCAGAGCTGAAAGAGACCACAGTCAGAGCCCTGGGGTCAGAAGGCCCAGCCCATGGAATTGGGTTAGCCTTAGGTTGGTAGTACACTGGTGCTCTCCCCTTCCTGCCATTCCTGCTTTGTCTCAGGGTCTCCAGGATGAGTGCCAGTACCTCCTTCAGCCCCAGCTGATTGTCCGTCGCCTGCTGGATGTGGCTGTGCTGGTTCCTGGCCGTCCCTCAGAGCAAAGCCTCTCTCCCCACAATCGTTCAGCCCTGTACAAGTAAGTCAAATACCCACCAAATGTGGTCCTTCCTGCTCCCTTTCCTTGTCGTAAACAGATGGCAGCATTCTCTTCTGACTCCTGAGCCACTTATCTGGTCCTGTTGTCCTTCCGGCAAATCTGGACTCAGGGGCACTCAGAGCCCCCAGGGTGGGTTGGATTTCTGCCTGCTCTCTCCTAGCACAGAGGAAAAGACCTGAAAAGGCCATCTGTTCCCATTGTCCCCTACCTTCTCCCTGCCCCTTCTTCTTCTTGTTTCCCTTCTTCTGGTGTCCCTCTCACCTTTCTGTCTGTCCTTTCTTGCCCCAACCTCTCCTCTGCCCAGGGTCTTTGTGCCCAGCTTCACTTACAGGGTTTCAGCGCAGCTGGTGTGTATGGGGGGCCGAGGGGCGTCTGCTTGCCCCCTGACACTGCGCCTACGTCCCAAGGCCCCACCCCTGCACAACTCAAGCTCTGTGGCCTGTGGAGGTGCCTCGATATGCCAAGTGGAGCTGGCCCTGCCCCCTTGGGGGCACTGGGTCTACGTGCGTGTGGAGACACCATCCCGGGGCCCTGGCAGGACCATCCGCTTTCAACTGTGTGTGCGACTGCAAGGTCAGAACCCTCCCATCTGCCTCATCACCCAGCCTTTGCAGACATCTGTGTTTGGGAATGACCTGGGTAGCTGTGTTTGGTGATCCTTTGCCTTGTTCCTATAATATCCCCTATCCCACCCAGGCTCCTTTATACATTCCAAAGGCTCCCACTTCAATTGGAGCTCCAAGTCTTCAGATGGTCTTTGTACCACTTTTTGCATCTTACTTGGGACGAATAAAGGCTCTTAGTGTCTCCCTTTGTTTAATATCTCTTTCAGTTTCTTAGATAGGCAGAGACAACCAAGACCTCTAAGACACTGTCCTTGCTGGTATGTCAGTAAGGTAGCCCATTACACGTAGTTACGTTAGATAACTAGTTTACACAGTTAGTGGTGTTGACAGTGAACAGTTAAACACTTTAACTGTATTTTCACTGCACTGAGGGAGGGGCAGATGACCTTGATTCCCTCCAACATGACATTGTGTTATCCAGGAATCCCCTGGGCCCTATCCCGTGTTCCCAGATATGTCACACTCCCTAGGAGCACCATGTTCTAATTCTTACCTTTGATAGAAATGGTCTGGCTCAGTTCTGGCTTATGGTGGGGTTGCAGGAGTATGAGGGATACAGGCCTCAGATCTGGTTTCCTTTCTTCACAGAATGCCCACAGCCCAGCCTGTCCCGTGCACTGGTTCCTGGAGCTGCTATGAACATGCCTCAGTCACTGGGCAACCAGCCACTGCCCCCAGAGCCACCATCTCTGGGGACCTCTGTGGAGGTGCCTGGGGTCACATCTCCACCTGAGCACTGCTGGCCAGTGCGCCCAACTCTGCGCAATGAACTGGACACCTTCTCTGTCCACTTCTACATCTTCTTTGGCCCAAGTGTGGCCCTTCCTCCTGAGCGCCCCGCTGTGTTTGCCCTGAGGCTGTTGCCAGTACTGGACAGTGGAGGAGTCCTCAGCCTGGAGCTCCAGCTCAATGCGGTACTCTTTGTGGACAGCTGGGTGGTTGGCCTTTGGGGGAGCTCAAAGGGGCTCAAAAGTGTGTGGAGGCCTTACCTCCTTCAAGAAGCCTACCGAGGTTGCTTCTACATATCCTTCTAAGTAGGGACCGTGGCTTACTTAGATTCTGGTCAACAAGCATACCCAGAATATCAGCTGTGCTGTGAGTGGCCTGGGTCAGCCAGAGTGAGTCAAAGTTCTTAGAGCACCCCAAGCATTGTAGGTTGCCTTCCCACTCAAAGGGCCTCCCTCCATGTCAGCACTTCACATTTTCTTGCCTGTCTTCTGAATGAGTTCACTATCTCTTGAGCCATGTAGTCATATGTGGGGTTCCTAATACCCCATCAAAATCTACTTCCATGAATTCCAACTTATTGACTTTTATTTTGCTGGAAGCCATATTCAGTAAGTCAACACCTGTTCCTTTGTTTTTGAATTTTTGAGCAGTTTTATATTTATAAAAAAATTTTTTTTTGTGGTACCAGGGATTGAACTCATGACCTCATGCTTGCCAGGCAGGCACTTATGCCACTGAGCTAAATCCCCAGCCCCTATTTATAAAAAAATTAAACAGGAAGTACAGAGTTCTCATAGGCTGCCTTTTTCTCTGCACAGTTTCCTATTATTACATCTGGTCTGAGTGTGGTATATTCATTACATCTCTATCCTATTGTAAGAGCCCTCCAGATGTTTCTTCTTAAATTCCTAAAAGCTGAAATAGCCTGAGTATCTTGGGACCCCCAAGGTCATCATACCTGAAGGAAGGATCTGAGGTGGTCTTCCCAGGGTGGCAGGCAAGACTTGCATTTGTGCAGCCTGAGACCACGTGACTCACAAATTGCTGCATTCCGTTATGGGATTTTCTAGGGCTGATAAAGGTAAACTAAGATCCTGGGTCTTTTTCCTTCATTTTTATTTTCTTTGCAACACTTGCTGTTTGTTTGTTCTTTTGGTCTTTTTTTTGGGACAGGGTCTCACCATGTAGTTCAGGCTGGCCTTGACTTCACTTTGTAGCCCAGGCCTTGACCTTGCAGTGATCCTCCTGCCTCAAAGCCTCCAGAGTGCTGGGATTACAGGCTTGTGCCATGATGCCTCAGTTTTTTCCCTCTTTTTTTGAGATAGGGTCTTGCTACATAGCTTAGGCTGGCCTAGGACTCACTGTGTAGCCCAGGTTGGCCTCAAACTCATGGTGATCTTCCTGCCTCAGCCTCCCTCCTGAGTGCTGAGATTATAGGTGTGTGCCACTAGAATACTTATATACATTTTTTAAACATAAAGGCAACAGGATCACATAAAGGCTTTGGACAGGGGCGAAAACATTTGCCTGAATGTAACTATTTAACTTTGGTGTACCTTCTCCCATCCTGTCTCCATACTAACTGCTTTGCCTAGTTGTAATCAAGGGGAATATAAATTTTGATGTGTTGAGTTTTGAGAATGGCTGCCAAAATGACGTATTTTTGTGGTGAAGTTTTGAGCCTGAGTGGAAGAATTTATGCCCATCCTTGGTGTTGCCTAGCATTGGCTAGGGCTCCGGACCTCTCCATTTGCTCAGAGCCAGCATTCTGTCTCTCTCGGTCCTTACTGTCAGCACTGAGTAAGGTCCAGATGAGCACAGAGTCCTGTGTTGGCTGTGAGAGATGATCCTGCTCTTGACTTTCATCTGGTAATCTCTGTGCCACTCCTTCTGCCAAGGATCCTTTTAGCTCTACTGTGCCCTGGATTTGAGGTCAAGGACTTCTTCTTCAGTAGCCAACCTAAGGCCTGGTCTATGGCTTTTTATGGGACATGGCCCAGAACTTTCCAGAGGATTCTGCTTATTGGGATAGATGTAGTTCTTTAACGTGAAGACGTTCCTTATTTTCATATTTATTCTCTCTGATTCTGTCCTGGCTCAGACTGTAATTTGTATTTTCTTATTGCCCTTTCTTAGGGCAGTGGCCCAAAAGTCTAGATTTGACCTTGAAATCACAGAGCCCAAGTCAGAGACCAGCCCACCCATGCCTATGCCTTCAGTTTCTCAGTACCCTGAGATTAGAGACCCAGCCCCGCTGTAGCTCCTTGCTGTAGCTCCTCCCTGTCTCCCTCTCTGCATTCTGTGTTATCGTTTTGCAGTGCTATGGATGGAGCTGGGGGCTGCTTCATGCCAGGCAGGTGTTCTACTGCTGAGCTGTGCAGCCAGACCCCTCCCGCTCTGTGTTCTGTCCATAGACTCTAATGAGCACCTCTTCCCACTGTGCCTGTATGAGGTGTGACCCTTGCTCCATACTGTAGACAGCCCATTAGATTTATTCTAAAAAGTGCATCAATACATTTACTGTGATCTTTCCTTCCAAAGATTTTGATTTATTTTTCCTCCTGGATCAAAAACTGCTTTCCTGGAGGAACCCCCACCCCTTTGGCTCTTTCCTGGAGTGACTTTTACTCAGTTATAGCACTGCGCTTGCACTGGGAGAAGTGATAGGCATGTTGTATGAATTCTTCTGTGGTTAAAGACAAGATCCTTGGCAGCAGACAGCTTCTTGGTGGGAATGGCCACGGACCCTGCTTTTGTTAGGCATGGGGTTCCCTGGAGACTATGATTAACTTTTATACATTCACAAATCTGGAAACTTCATCATGTTTCCTTCTTTGCTTTGGTTACATGAAAATCAGTACCAAAACATATGACCCACATCTAGGACTGACTTTGTTTTTGTATTTAGATTTTAAAATTTCATGCGTTTAATTTATCCTATCTTATGTGTTAATAAGCTAGCTCAAATCCTTCTTGAGTAAGGTAAATTTATGATACCTATTACTTTTATTTTTGCAGTAAACCCCTTACATTTACTCCTGTGGGTGTCTGGTTTCTTTCAATTCCAGCTGGGTTGCTACATTGACTCTCTCAGGCAGTCCTTTACCACCAGGGTCATATTTTACCTGAGAGATGAGTCTCTGTACATACCTCCTGCCTTCAGACCCAGAGCAAGGTGAACAAAACCCTTAAATTACCTTTGTCTACAATTAATTTGAAATCCGGCAACACCTACGTTCTTCCAGTAAGATAGGATTGAAAACTATCTTCTGAATCAACAGTTGAGAATTTGGCCTGGCTGCTCATCAGCCTTCGGGAGGTCTTTGCTGTGGGGCCTGGTGCCTTTCAGTTTTGGGGATTCTGAGGATGGAGATGAGACAGCAGCACAGCTGCGAAGCATGGGGGCATGGGTAGGGACGGGCTGTCCAGTGAGGCCAGGGGGCTGACCGATGCCGTGAGCCCGCTTGAGGATCTGACAACCTTCATCCCTATCTGTCCTTCCCAGAGCTCCCTGCGCCAAGAGAATGTGACAGTGTTCGGATGTCTGACTCACGAGGTGCCCTTGAGCCTGGGGGACGTTGCAGTGACCTGTTCCAAAGGTGGGGTGAGGAGTGCGGAGGGAGAGGAGGTTGGAAGCGGGGCAGGGCCGAGCGGGTGGTATGGAAAAGGACAGCCAGGGCCTCCTGGCCTCGGGAGCAGCTGGCTAATGGTTCCTGGCTCCTGACTGCAGCTGACCGCACCTCCTACCTCTCACTGCTCTCCTCCTTTTTCGCTTCTCCCTTCAGAGTCGCTGGCCGGCTTCCTCCTCGCAGTCAGCGCTACCTCCAGAGTGTCCAGGCTGCGAATTCCCTTCCCGCAGACGGGAACCTGGTTCCTGACGCTCCGTTCCCTGTGCGGGGTGGGGCCGCGGTGAGCAGAGCCTGTGGGATTGGGTGTGTGTGTGTGTGTGTGTGTGTGGGCTATCCAGGCCCCAGGTGACGGCCGGTGTATACCCAGGTTCGTGAGGTGCCGCAACGCCACGGCCGAAGTGCGGCTGCGCACATTCCTGTCGCCCTGTGTGGATGACTGCGGGCCCTACGGCCAGTGCAAGCTCCTGCGCACGCACAACTACCTGTACGCAGCCTGCGAGTGCAAGGCTGGTGAGCCGGCTGGCGAGGGAGCTGGCGCGTGGATTCCGGGGCTGCGGGTGGTTTGGAGGGGTGGGCGTGCCGGGCTGTGTGGGCCTTCTGTCCTCCACCGTGCCCTCCGACCCGCAGGGTGGCGGGGCTGGGGCTGCACCGACAGTGCCGATGCGCTCACCTATGGCTTCCAGCTGCTGTCCACGCTCCTGCTCTGCCTGAGCAACCTCATGTTTCTGCCACCTGTGGTCCTGGCCATTCGGAGCCGTTATGTGCTGGAAGCAGCTGTGTACACCTTCACCATGTTCTTCTCTACGGTATGAAGCATCATCTCTGTCTTCACCTCTTTGCCATGTCATTCCTTTTTCGTGGTGGGGGTGGGGCTGGGGGGGTCGACGGGGACTTCATTTTTACCGTGTTCTCCACTGGTTTGAGGGTGTCTCTGCCCTCATTGTGTCTAATGCAGCAATGCCTCCCCACGTACCACGGTGTCACAGACAGTGGTAATTCAGGCAAGGAAGCTTGAGGCAAGTGACCAACCTGTTTGCAATTTAATAGAACAAGTGTGGGGCTCCCAGTGCTCCACACTGGAAGGAGACCTTTCCTCAGTGTGTCAGCTCAGGACCTGCCCCACACCTGCCCTGTGCCCTCTGCACGGGTGGGAGTCCACCCTGACACCACATCTCTGCACAGCCTTCACCTTCTGGTGGGGTGAGCTCTCTGTGCTCCTGTTCTCCCTCTTCCTGAGGGTGTCTCTGCTGTTAGCATGTCCTTTCTGTGCTGTGAGAGTGTGTTCCCCTTTTCAGTCCCCATGGCCTTCCTGGATTTCTTATGGAAACTTTTGTAAGTCAGGAGGGTTTCCAAATTGGGCAGGTAAGAAGACAATCTGGCTGTCAGAGTCCTCAGAAAGTTTATCCTGAGGCATAGGAAGTGGCAATGTGATAGAAAAATCCCAGTTCCAGGAATACATTTGATATAGATTTCAAAGTTTGGTTCCCCCCAACCCGCTTTGAGACAGGATCTTGCTGGATTGTTCAGCCTGGCTTTGAACTCAGTGTGTAACCCATGCTGGTCCTGAATTTGTGGCAATCTTCCTGCTCTGGCCTCCTGAGTCCTGTAATTATGGGTACACACCACCGTTAGATTTAATAGTTTTAAATTCCCTCCATGCCCACTTCATAATCTCCACAGTTCCTTCCCTGAATTTTCTTACTCCATAGCCAGAAAAATCCACATTACAAGTAAACATTTGAGATATTATGAGGAGAGGGAGAGAAGTAGGTTTGCTGATGTATCCTAACCCCAGTTAGACTCTTCCTCCACCAGGTTCTGCACCTAGGAATCTTGTTATCCCATCTGTTCTTGGCATTTTTGATGTACTGTGCCTGTCTATGGGTGCTACAAGGAAATCTTAATGAATTCAGACTCTCCTAATGTCTTAGCAACAGGAAATCACAAGAACAAATATGATTTCCCCAGTATTCAGAATTACTAAACAGACATGTGTCTGGAGTACAAACATTCTGCTTATTATGTGAGACAAAGTAGGGGGCCAGTGTGTTGAACTAGGGTCCCAGGGTCCTTCTGGATACTCATTCTCAGAGAGGCTATAGTGAGAGACTGGCCCTTTGAGCAGCCTGAGAAGAGCGTATCTCAGTTTTGCCTTTTAGGTCCCTCTGATAGTGCCTCATTGTTTTTATTTCAGATGCTGTTTCTTATTGTCAAATGCCCTTCATGCTGTTACCTTACCAAATCTTTTAGCAACAGCTATTTCACCAGCCCACACTTGACTTCGTGAAGATCTAATGTGATTCATAGTTAGAGTACCTCGGTGTATCAGGAATCTAGAGCTTGTTCTTTCCTCTGGGCTTGGCGCAAGCATTGGCTTCAGTGTGTGTGGTGCTATGTGACTCTGGAGACAATGACATAGCAGTCTGAAGAGAAAGTCCTTCCTCTAGTAGGAACCCTGGGGGAACCTCGAATGCCTGGGACCAAGTAAAGAATCCCCACTTTCTTTAGGAAGGCAGTAAGCAAGAGAATAAAGAACTGCTAGCGTTGAGGCACTGGCTGAAGTCCTGCTGTAATTCCAGTTCTTTTTCCAAGTGGGCCAAAATGTAGAACTATTCGTCATTCAGCTTTCTAGAGGCAGTTTTCCTATTGTCACTTCTTCGCCATTCTTTACTCAGTTTGCACGTATTTCATTCCATGTAAGGTTGATTTAGGGGCCCATTGGTCTGTTGTAGTTGACCAGGACAGTAAACGACATTTTCCCTGTCTTGAAATCTAGGACAGTTTACACTTGGGTAGTCACATGGGTTCCTATCCCAGGTGTAGGAAAAGAAGCATGTTTATAATTCAGACATTTGGAGATTAAAAAAAAGATGAAAAATATAAAAACAAGCCATGAACCTAGCACTTGATTTTTGTATGTAGCCAGATACATAATGATAACAGAAAATTGATGTCTACTGAATGCATGATGTGCAAGACACTGCTAATTTAATCTTTGCAATAGCACCATAATAATAGGCAGGCATTGTTATTATTGTTATTTTTGTAAATGAAAGAGAGTTAAACATTTTGCCTAAGGGAGACAGTGAGTGGTAGAGCTTAGACGTCCATTGATCCTGACTCTGGGCCTGTCACTGAGCCGTGTGGCTCTGCACCACAGCGTGAGCACAAATCGGTGAAGTTTTATCCAGCTTTAGTTTCCAGGAGCCCTGAGTATGTTGAGAACATGTGGCTCCAGTTGAGGAGCTCTCTTCAAATTCTTAGGATAATGCTTTTGTTTCCAATTTTTTCTTTTTTTGTGGTACCTGATTGAACTCAGGGCCTTGCACATGGCAGGTAATACTCCATCAGTGAGCCACATCCGCAGACTGTCCCAGACTCTGAAGAGCCGGTTAGAAGATTAGAAAATATAACAAAGCACAATATGAAAATCCTCAGAATGAATATATAAAGCATTGTGTTATGTGCCTAGATGGTCCTAGCCGTGTGCTATTTGAGTCCTTATGACCAGAGTGTCAAAGGCCTACATAGAACCCATACCATGTGGCGTCCTTGCCTGGTGCTGATGTCCTGGCTGCAAGCCCACTGTCATTACCTCTTCTGCTCCTCAAACCATCACAAGTAATTCTCAGTGGCCCTCGGCGAAATCCCATAACTGCTTCTATGGGAAAATGGAATTATTGAACAATAAGAGAGGAACACTTAAGTTCCATTATATCCTGTGTACAAATATCCCAGTCTTTGGATGACTGGAATATATTTGCATTTGCAGTTTGACATTCTGTGATGGCTGGGTACCCATTTTGGGGCACTGGATGAATTGTATAGTTATAAAAATACAAAATTCCATAGAAAAAATTTAGTGTAATTTTTTCCAAGTTTCCCTGTATAGAGAGTTCTAAGCTGAGGGTGTGATCAATGTGGATTAGAATTATGTTATAGAATCTACTTAGTGTCTAAAGTTCTTCTCTTAAATTCACCAAGTTTCCTGTGTTGTTTCTACCTCTGTTTTTTTATTGCTGTTGACAAAAGGAATACCAGTCTAAAATTCAAACCACAAGTTTCAGTGGTACAGTTCCCTTGCAAATTTTAATTAACTCCATCACTATAGATGTTCCACAAACGGAAACAATTGCATAGTCTTTTTAGCATTGGAGAATGATTAGCCATAGAAAAATATTACTAAAATAATTTCCTGCAAACCTCTGCTTTCTAGAGACAATACTTCCATTTCCCTTCCACTCTTTTTCAGTATAGAAAAATTCCTAGGAGAAAGTCAGTTCTCAGTTATTTCCTTAATTGTGCTTCAGTGTTTGGTAATTCAGCTTTGGCTTTTTTTCTACTGATCTGTATCCTCCTTTATCTAAGATCAAAGGATGCATTTTTAACTCCTCTTTCAGAAACTTCCAGGGATTTCATTGAGTGTACTTGAAAGGCAGATGGAGCAAGTACTTTGTTAAGTCTGAATTGTAAAATTAATTCTTGAAAAGAAAATCCAAATCATAAAACAGTATAGGATGATTTAGTGACCTGGCGTACTTATTTCTCTTTTGTTTTGTTTTGGGACATAATTCATAATTCAGGCTGGCACTGAACTCAGTATGCAGTCCATGCTGGCCTTGAGCTCATGGTGATCCTCCTGCTTCAGCCTTTGAAGTGCTGGAATTGTAGGCGTAAGCCACCACGTCTGGCCAGCATACTTATTTCTGATTTTGAAGCAGATTTTAGCTATTTTATAGCTAAAGTAGAAAAAGACTAAACTAGTAATATGTTTAGGAACTAAATTAACTGTCAGTCAGTTTATGCAAGAGAAAGTGTTGAAAAATTTCTTAGACAAATTTAAATGTTAATCCTCCACAATGTGGGAGAGGTGTTGCCCTTCCCCAGCAGCTCTTCCTGATGTGAAAAGCTGTGCTCCTCTACTGCCTTGGTGATTACAGTTTTGCTTGCTGTGTTCCCTGGCCCCTGGGCAGGGAACTGAGGGGACTGAGAGACCTACTTAGTGGAGGGCCTGGGAGTGAAGCCCCGCTCAGAGCCTTCGATATCAAGTGAAATTCAGATGAGGGAGTTCGGGGGTCTAACTGGGCTATGAGGCCAGAGGCAGGCCCAAAGCTTAGGCTGGGGATAGGGACCATTGTGGGACCCGCAGTGAGCATGTGGAGATAGGTAAGAGAGTAGCCTCATTTTGAGAGATCTGAACCCTTGACCTGGCTTCTCCACCACACATTCCAGAAATGAGAAGCTCGGAGCTGCCAGATACCTATGGCCTACGGAGCAGACCCGGCTTCCTACTGAGTTTTTCTCAGAGATGAACGAGTTAGGCATTTCCGAGTTCTGCTCACCAGTGACCGCTGACCTCTGTTTCTCGGGCAGCAGTGCACCATCCCTGTCTTCTTTCTCTGCTGTCATGTACCCGGACCTGCACCCCAAGTCCTTTCAACACCTGTCATTTCTTCTTCCAGTTCTATCACGCCTGTGACCAGCCAGGCATTGTCGTTTTCTGCATCATGGACTATGACGTTCTACAGTTCTGTGATTTCCTGGGCTCCTTAATGTCCGTGTGGGTCACTGTCATTGCCATGGCTCGTTTACAGCCTGTAGTCAAACAGGTCAGTTCAGAGTGGGCCCTGGGGACAAACATAGCCAAGATCTACTTGAAATCCACTACTGTCCTCTCCCTGAGAGCTTTTCTAAGTGCCTCTTGCCATTCTGGCCCAGCCCCTGGAGTGCTGTCACTGGTACTAGTCCAGGCCCTGGAGTCCTCTTTCCCTAGGTGCTGTATTTGCTGGGGGCTATGCTGCTGTCCATGGCTCTGCAGCTTGACCGGCATGGGCTTTGGAACCTGCTTGGACCCAGTCTCTTCGCCCTGGGGATCTTGGCCACAGCCTGGGTAAGGGCAGAGAGGGGTGTGTGTATATGTCTGGGTTGCGGGAGCAAGACTTGGGTGCAGGACCCTGACTGTCTCAATTTAAGGTGGGCCTGGCTTGTCACCATCACCTGCCCTTCACAGTGTCCACCCCACCCTTGGCAGGTGTCTTTAGGTCACAACTAGGCTTTGGGGAAGCCTGAGACTGACCAGCTCTAGCTTGGGTTCGAGGGTCTTATGTTCCTGAACCCCGCTTCTCTGCTTCCCCCAGACAGTACGTAGTGTCCGCCGTCGGCACTGCTACCCACCCACATGGCGCCGCTGGCTTTTCTACCTGTGTCCAGGCAGCCTTATTGCAGGCAGTGCCATCCTACTCTATGCGTTTGTGGAGACCCGAGACAACTACTTCTACATCCATAGCATTTGGCATATGCTCATCGCCGGCAGTGTGGGCTTCCTGCTTCCTCCTCGTGCCAAGACTGAGCACCGGGTTCCATCTGCAGCCCGGGCCCGGGGCTGTGGTTACCAGCTGTGTATCAATGAGCAGGAGGAGCTGGGCCTTGTGGGCCCAGGAGGAGCCACTGTCAGCAGCATCTGTGCCAGCTGAGAAGGGCTTTGGTGCAGGCCCCGAGGGGATAAACCTTTTAGGGTTCTTCCTGGGGATGAGAAGCCTTCTTGGGGACAAGAGACAAGCTGTATTCTTGAGGACTTGGACATTGAATTTTTCAGGGACCTGGAGGCTTTCCCAGGACATGGGAAACTTCTTGTATTCATGGACTCCTTCTTAAAGACTGGCACTATGCAGGGCACAGAGCCCCCCACAGGACAGTCTCGGGCATGAAGCCCTTCCCAGGGATGTGGAGCCATCCTACAGACATGAATTACTTCCCGGGGAGACAAAGTCCTATCAGAAACATGCATCATTCCAGAGGAAATGGAGACCATCTTGGAGAAACTGAGTCTCCAGATTTTCCTAGAGACTCAGCAGCTCTGGCCTGAGGCTTCCTTCTTAGAGTGGCATTTGGGCTGGTCTGTGCTGCGTGTGGGGGTCCAGGGTGGATGGAGCTGGAACTGGGGCCTGGTGGTGGTGTTCTGAGCTGGTACAGCTGGAGTCTGGTGTGTCTCCAATGAAATATGTGCTGGTTCTGTGCTGCTTTTCCACTCTGGGGTCAGGGTTTGGGGGAGGAAATAGCAAGAGTGATGGGAGCCCAGGCTGAAGGAGCCCCTGGGAGCTAACTGTGAGGCTTCTACCCCATTACGCACACACTCTGTCTCTGTTCATTTCTAAACACTGCCCGATGTCGTGTTTCAATTTCTAGTGGGCCCAGCTTGCAATGACAGGTTATGTGTGCATGTGTGTGTGTGCGTGTGTATGTGTGCACTGAGATAAATTGAATCAGGGAAACATACCTCCTCCATGATGCCCACTCACCTGGAGAAGAAAGCCAGGGTACCAGGAGATGAGAGTAACAGGCATATACTTCAGATTTACAGACAATACCGAAAAGCATAACTTCTATTTTGGGCCTCCATTATTCCTGAATACCAGAAATAATCTGTGAACTGGGATTTCTTCTGTTTCCATAAGGGTCATAGGTGAGTCCCCAGGGTCTCGTGTAATCCAGGAAGCTGGGGGACATTCTCTCTGGTTACCAGGGTCCGTGTTTCGCCCACCCCCTGAGATCTCCATCATCCCATCTGACCCCCATTCAGGGGCCCAGGAGGCTGCCTGGATGTAGGAGGGTCTTTGCTCCTGTGCGAACCCTCACAGTCCTGAGGTTCTGCCACACCTCCCGCTCCACCTGTGGAGACCTTCGAGTTTGTCTAAGGCCTTGGCTACTCCGGCACTCCACTTTTGTTTTGGGGTCTTGCTGTGCATTTTACTTGAAAAAGAAGACATGTATTGCCCCATCTTCTTACCCTGTAGGGCTGTCTAAGGACTTGGCAAAGGACTGCTTCCTTTTGGGACCTCCTTGGGTCAGTGCTGGCAGCACATTTCTTCCTCCTGTCCCTCCCTTCCCCTACTTGTTAATCTGGAGTGAAGAAGCCTTACTGTTATTTTCTCTCAAATTTTTAATCTGTACCTAAGTCTTTTTTTTGTTTTCCTCAGGGCCTAGGCTGCTGAAACTCAAGAGCCAGCAGCCTTCCCTTTTTCTGTGCTTCCTACAGTCATGTCTGTTCCTGGGGGCGCTGACAGAGAATGTGTGGCCAATGCCAGTGAGAAGGGTGAAGGCGTGTGGACTAGGCGTGTGCTCCTGTATCACAATGTTATTCCTCCACACAGGACAGATACAGGTCCCTAAGAAGCCTGTACCCAAATAGCTGGGATTCAAGACTGGATCAGGAGCGTATAGAAGGCCATGAAGAGGCAACAGAGCCAGGACACAGTCTACCAAGCTAAGGGCTTTGGAGGTGCTTTTGAAAAAGAAGGCCTTGTGAGGAAATTAAGCAAGCTCCCATAATGCCAAGATGCAGGGAGAGAGTTCTCTGTGGTTACAAGTGTCCATGCTGCATTCCTCCCTGGAGATTGCTGTTATTCCACCTGGTCCTCACTCAGTAAAGCACTTAGAACACTCAGCACAGTGCCCAGCCTGGTGCATGGTACATGTCCAGTACCTGCCAGCTCAAGGTCATAGCCTCTGGGTGTGGGGAGAACAAGGGGAGCCCCAGAGGTGGGAAAGATTGATTTTAATTCATGGAAGTGTACAGAGTGTGGGAGTCTGGGTCTGGAGGTTGTGGAAGCACAGGTAGATGGGCCAGGGCCTGTTCTTTACATACAGGGTGCAGAGCCGGTAGAGTGATTTAAGCAGCAGGGTTTGGTGGCCAGATTGGTATTTTGATGGCTGGTGTGGGGGTGGGGGTGGGAGCGTGGGAGGACAGTGTGGTAACAGAAGTGGTATACAGGGTCAGTGGGAAAGAGGGGACAGATTTAAAGAGCTCTTGGAAGGGGGGCTCTACAGACTTAGTGGTTGATGGAAGAGTGAAGTATGGAAGTCTAGGAGGACCACCATGTTTCCGGCTTTGGGTGATGGCACCTTTCCTTGAGGTAGTGACATCACTTGGAGTTGGTGATGATGAGTTCAGTTTTATAGCTTATAGATTTTGAGTTTGAGGTGCTGGTGGGATTCCTAGAGGTGGTGGGAAGCTCTTCTGTCTTGTCTCATTGGGGCCCCATTGCCTGTCTGCAATGCAGGACTGTAGCAGCAAGCACTCCTGCTCCCATGTGTGTCTGCACACACAGTCACACCAAGACCCCTGACCACTGCCTGGGGAGTGTGCAGCCATCAGGCTCAGTCCACAGATGTGCTGTGAGAGCTTCCAAGAGGCAGCTCAGTTCAGCAAGTGTGCTGTGGGGAAAGCCCTGTGGGAGCTGCACAGATGAGTGAGACTGAACCGTCCTGCCCTGAAGAAGCTCTCATGCTGGTGAAATGTCAGGAGGGCAACTCAGGATGAGACAGGTCCCAAGTGAAAGGTCTTGACAGAGTACCCTAGGATGTAAAAAGAACAATTTCAAAGTGCATCAGAAAAAACTGCATGAAAGAGATGGTGTCTAAGCTGGCTTTGAAACTCATCCTCAGTATGATTCACGAACAGCATGAGCTAAGACCTGGAGGCGTGGGCAGTCCAGATGATGTAGAGAGGGGCTGGCCTGTGTGAAGGACACAGTGCAAAATCAGGCTGAAGAAGCGGGTGGGCCCAGCTTCTGGAGGGCTTTGAAGATCAGTGGAAGCATTGGATTTAAAGCTATGGTAATAGGAAACTATGCAAAATCTTTTATCAGAAGAGTGATCAATCAATCAGGATTTGACCAAAGTGCCAGAACCACTGAGCCATGTAAGGAATTTATTTTAAAGATTACACCTGTAGGGCCTTCAGAGCAGTGAGTGAAACCTGTACAAAGCCAGCCCCTCTGTGTTTGGTGTTGGCTTGAAGTTGCTCGAGGCCCAGCTGGGAAAGAAACCTGGTTTAAATTAGGGAGTATAAAGGCAAAGCAGAACCCAGGAGGCCTCGCTAGGAGCTGGATCTAGTTCTCACTGTTTTCAAGTCCAATGATAGAGTGCTCCTGCAGGAGAAGTTCGCACTTTTTGCCATAGAGCTGTGTTTGGGCCAGACGGAGAACACAGGGAGATGATCTGGCTGGCACAGAACAGGGTGCACTGGCACATGAGTGTTCCTGTGGAACCTGGTGCCATTTAAGCTCATGCCAAGGCAGAAGCAACATGGTAGAAGGGCATGGTAGGAGAAAGCTGCTCACCTATGGCAGCCAGGAAGCAGAAAAGGAGCCAGAGAGGAACAGGCTGGGGACCTCATGATCCTCAAGGTCATGCCTCTGTGAGGGACCTGTTTCTGTCATCTCCCAAGAATGTCATAAAATTAGATTGTTTTTGAAGACGGCCTTTTTTTTTTTGAGACTAGGTCAGGCTGACCTTGAACTCACTGTGTAGCCCAGGCTGGCCTTGAACTCACAGTGATCCTCCTGCCTCAATCTCCTGAGTGCTGGGATTACAGGTGTTTGCCACCATACCTGGCTATGATTTTTTATTTTACAGTTTTTATTTTTTTGAGACAGGATCTTACCATGAAGTTCAGACAGGTCTTAAATTCATTACGTAGCACAGGCTGGCCTTGAACTCACACTTGTGGTGATCCTCTTGCCTCAGCCTCCCACGTACTGGGATTACAAGCGTGTGCCACCATGCCCAGATCTAAAATTGCATTTTGATCAATGGGTTAATTCACTGATGAAGTTAAATCTCTATAATCCTGTCACCTTCCAGAAATTCATCCTCTAAACACTCGAACATTTTGGGAGACATTTAAAGACGTGTGTGATGGCACACACTAGTAGTTGGGAGGCTGAGGCAGGAGGATCACTGTGTGTTCAAGACCAGGCTGGGGTACAAAGTGAGTTCAAGGCCAGCCTGAACTATGTAGCAAGATCCTGTTTCAAAACACAAAAGAAAACAAAAGATCCCAGCCCTAGTATTTAAGCTGGTGGACATTTCTTGTGGGTAACCCAAAGCATTCCCAGACAGGAGGGAGATTCTGAGACGCACACTTCCAACCTTATTCGGCTGAAATAGTGCAAAACTGCACAAACTAACCAGACCTTTGCTGAGATGATTAACCTGGCACAGTCCAAGGGGAGTGAATGATCAGGGCAGAGAAAGCCAGTCTCCAGGAGCTCTTGGGTTGATTCTGCAGAATGGCATATGGTCACTAGTTGTTCATGTCTCTCAGTCCTTTCCTTCCTTCCAAATACAGTAGCAGGGCTTCTCTTCCACCCTGACGTTATCTGTGCCTCCTAACAGACCATGAACCAGGAGTGCAGGAAAGCGTGAGTACTTGTGAGTGTAAGCCAGGAGTTGGTGCAGACTTCCTTCCCTTCCCTTTTCCCTTTGCCATGCTGAGATGAGGAAAACCATGCATAGCAGAACCCCAGCCGAGCTGGGTGAGAAATAAACCGTAATGTGTTTAAGTCATGGAAAATCTGAGGTTACCACCGCAATATAGCCTTGCCTATGCCTGCTGAAGAGATGGGGGAGCAGCAGCAAAACTGGGGCATTTTCCTGGAGAGCAGAGCTCTCCCTCGTAGAGCTGTGATAGCAGCTTTAACCTCTGCGTTCCGCAGGCTGTAGATGATGGGGTTTAGTGACGGTGTCACGGCCCCATAGAACAATGTGACAATTTTATCCACATTGGGGTCCTTGGACTTCGGTCTGAAGTACATGAAGGAAATGGTCCCGTAGAACACCACCACCACCGTGAGGTGGGCAGAGCAGGTTGAGAAGGCTTTGCGCCGGCCTGTGGCAGAGGGCAGCCTGAGGATGGCAAGCAGGATTAAAAAGTAGGAGAGGAAGATGAGGAGGAGCGGGGTCAATGTCAGAACAGCCGTGGCCACCGTTGTTGTCACTACATTGAGCGAGACGTCACCACAGGCTAGTTTGAGCACTGCCAAGATCTCACAGAAGAAGTGGTTGATGACATTCTGGCCGCACAAGGGGAGGCGCCACACGAGGATGGAATGCAGCAGCGAGTTGGCAAAGCCTGTTCCCCAGCTCAGCGCTGCCATCCGCAGGCACCTCTGCCCATGCATGAGCTCTGGGTACCTAAGTGGCTGGCAGATAGCCACATAACGGTCATACGCCATCACGGCCAGGAGCAGGCATTCTGTAGTACCCAGCGCTAGGGTCAGATACATCTGCAGGGCACAGCCTGGGAAGGAGATGGTTTTTCGGGTTTCCAGTAAGTTAGCTAACATGAAGGGCACGAAGGAGGAGGTGCCGCAGATGTCTATGAGGGAGAGGTTACTGAGAAAGAAGTACATGGGATTGTGCAGGTGGGGCACCAGGGTGATCAACCCTATGAGGAGGGAGTTCCCTAGTACAGTCATGCAATAGATGCCCAGGAAAAACCCAAACAGGACCAGCTCCAGGTCACGATGCTCCTGGAGCCCCAGCAGGACATATTCCTTCACAGCGGTACAGTTTGCCCCATCCATCTTGTTCTCTTTCCTTTCCCATCTGGACCACACAGCTTTTTGGAAAAAGCGCTGACTGGCAGGGATTTGTCACCTGCAGCAGCTCGGCTCACTCTGGGCTTTGGCTTCACTGTGTCTGTGAGGGAGAGACCTTGAGTTTCAGGGCTGTGCTAGCCCTCTCAATTCTGCAGTTCTCCTGATCTAACTTGGGCAGGGATGTTTCTCCTGGCCCTCTGGACCCCTTCCTTCCTTCCCATGCTTTGCTTAGAGGAGGCAGTACAGTAGGGTTCATGTTTGCCTGGCTCCCTCAGAATTGCAAGTGTTAAGACTATTCACAGGAAGAATCTCTTTTAGGTTATGACTTCATATGACTGACTGGTACTCATAATATTCCAGGTGCATCCATTCATTGACTATTGAGTACCTCTTCTGTGCTAAGGCATTGGGGCTCCAGCAGGAAGAAAAAAGATCCCACATCCACCACATTTGCTACCCCCCTTCTTTGAGTGAGGTGTGAGATGTGTTCTGGAAGACAGGCCTGTGAGCATAGATAATCTTGCCCAGGGTCCTTTTGGCCATGAGGGTGGGGCCCTGGCTCTGCAGGATGTATAAGTCTGATTTCAGATCATCTCTCCTAAAGGAATCATAGACCATTATTATTATTTATTTTTTGGGTGGACAAGGTCTAACTGTGTAGCCCAGGCTGGCCTCCTGCGTCAGCCTTCCAAGTGCTAGGATTACAGGCCTGTGCTATTACACCTGGCTTACACCATTAATTTTTAAAAGGACACACATGAACATACACATCCCAATAGAGCTACTGGTCACAAGACTCAGCACTGGCCGTGAAAGCCAGTGACTGACTTCTTGGCTTCCATATTGCTTTGTAGGATACATGCAGTTGGCAGGGATGCCACGCACTGGAACCAAGTACAAATGTGGTGGAAGTGGAATCAGTCACTGACTAACTGTGGAGAAGGAGGGCAGGAAGGGCTTCAGTTTCTTCCCAGGCAGCTGCCACTGCTCTGCTGAGCTAGTCTCACTGCCTTCTTGGGGAAGGCCAGTGTCAGGTACTAACAGGGGGGACCCTAGGTGCCTCCAAAGCACAAGAGCCTTAGGAAGGAAAGCTATCTTGTGTGGTCCCTGGTCTAAAGGAGAAATAAGGGCTGAGTATGAACTTCTGCTCTTCATTCTGGGACAGCAGTGAAGCCCTGGGTCTTTTCTCCTGGGCTGACGTGTTCCCCCTCATCCCTTAATTGGATGCACCTGCTGGGTCTGTACTTGCCACATCCCGGACAAGGGTTCATGACATCGTCTCCCCACAGAGTCTGGGCTCTTTCATTCTCAACCCTGAATTAAGGTGATTGTTAAGGAACTGGTTCTGGAACACACCAAAGCAGTAACTCACCTTAACGCTTACCCACTGAGGATTTTAAGGCAGGGTCTCTTGTTAAAGTTGGGGGAGATGAAGAAATGCTCCAGTGTGATGGTCATTCATTACTCCGAAGATATTTACTGAGCACGTCCCATGCGCCGGGGCCTGTCGTAGTGTGGACAAACGGCCACTTCAGAGTTGGTGGTCACTTACTCATTTGGTCTTAGTGTCCTTGGATGTATCCCTTCCTGTCTTTGGGCTTTAGACCTCTGGGGTTCTTTTAGAATCTGGGGTATAAAGACAGGGTCAAACCTGAAGTCTGCAATGATTTTGACAAGCCTTTCAAAGGCTTTGCTGTCTTTGCTGAGTGTGTGTTTACAAAAGACCTATATTCATTTCAAAGTCTGATGCGGTTTCCACACAGGTAAAGGGTAGAAACCCATTGACTTGGCAGTTCTCTTTCTTATCCCTGCCTCTCAGAACAAAGGCCCAGGTGGGAGTGGCAGAGGCTTCCCTGAGCAGGCTCTGGTCTGCTCCCTTTTGCGATTCCCACCTCATCCCTCACGTATGCTTGCTCAGCCTTACCAGGATTTGGACAAAGCCCGCACATCCTGGTCTCGTCTGCCTCCCCATGAGCCCTCTTTCAGCTGGACTGACCTTTCCTGTCCCCGCACTGCTCACGGCTCAGCTCCTATCTTTCTTTTCGGTGCCACCTTCTCAGATACCTCCGTAGAGCTGAGCACCCTGCAACAGGATGGCCCTCTCAGCTATTAGCACAGATGAATTTCATTTGCCTACATTATGGTTGCTGTGTTGTTTGTTTGACTATTCTGTGAAACAAATCTGTGCTATTGAAGTGAAAGGATCATATCTCATTCATCACTGTCACCCGGCACTCAGGAGTGTCAGTGATTGTCATTTAAATTGAACTGTTAATTTGGATTCAGCGCTGCTGTTCTGTCAAAAAGCTGGATCCCAACATCCCACTTTGATACCAAGGGCCCCTCCCCACTCCAACACACCCAAATGAATGTTGCAGCCTATGTAACTGCCAGGGGAACTTAGGGGCCAGTCTTCTACCTACAGGAGCAGCTCTTCTGGCTGGAGGACTGCATCAGGAGCAGGTGGACTTCCTTGCAAGTTGAGTCTGATCATAACATATTCATGGACATTAGAACCAGCCCAAAGAAGTCTGAGTCTAGCAAACACCATGCTTCCAGGCAAGCAAGAGCTTTGGCTCTGCAATGTGGATGGGACATCAGGGAGTACCAGGATGGTACTGGGTTATGCTGTGGAAATACCTGACTTTGCAGTTTTAGTGATGTAATGGGAGAAAGGTTTCTTTCTTTTTCATGCTACTTGTACATGGTGGGCTTCAGGGGCTGTACTCAAAGACCTTGGCTGATGAAGTCTGCATATGGGTGGGAAAGACAAACTACAAGCAGTTAGATGTTTAGTCCCAGAAGTGACATGCTTCACATCTGCCTACAAGTCGCTAGCTCCTTGTAGTTCTAACATGCCCCGAAGGAAGAGAACCAGAAATATTGCTGAACAGACTCTACATTTAGATACCATGGTGTTTCACAACACACTCAGAAAACTGTTCTACCATCTGTCTGCCATGCCACATACCCTGCCATGTTCCAGGAAATCAGATTCACAGAGTGAAAGGAAATTTGTGCATGGGGCGGAGGAGGACCCGAGTTTAATTCTTTGTTCCTGTTCTGCTGTGTGACTTTGGCAGAGTCTCTTTTTGGGACATAGAGCTATTCAATTCAGTGACCTCTTGTATTGCGTAATCTCTAAAACATTTCCTCACATCTTTCTAGAAACTTCCATCCCTAAGATCTGACAGACCAAGGTCAGTTTGCAAGGTAAATATCGCATCAATCTTATTGGCAGGAAATTTTACTTTTGTCATTTAGGTGAGGGAATAAGAGGAGAGTTTCAGGTACAGCTTCCATAAAATCGAGGTCTTCCCTGTGTGGCAGGGGAGTTGAGAGTGGGCTTTAGAGTCAACTTGTCATGGTCCAAGCCCAGCGCTGCCTTTCCTCACATTTCTCAGTGCCCTTACTTGCAGTGGGAAGGAGTAGTAAGTACTTCCTGGGGGCAGGCGTTTATTGTGAGGAGCCAGTGAGGTGAAGTACTGCTCTCAGCACAGAGCCTGGCGTGTAGTGAATAGTGAGTGGCGGGTGAGATTACTCTCATTATCGTTACAAACCTTTCCCCTTATGGTGACTTCTGAATGTTTTAGAAAGATTTCCTAAGAATAACAAGCCAGGTGAAAGCACCTTACCTCATACTGGCCCAGGTGCTGAAGTGTGTGCAGGGAGCTGGAGCCCGGTGAGTGGGCCTGAGGCTTGGGGGAACCAAGGGGAATAGCACCAATATTACCAGTAGTACGTGGTTAGTGCAGGCCAGGTTGAGGGCTCCAAGGATCAGCTTCTGGGTCCCCTGTCACGTAGACAGCCTGCTTGCTCCCTGCTCTTGGGACCTCACAGTCCCTGCCCAATTTAAAGTTCAAACTCTGCAACTACACAAAGTAGCAGGCCTGGCAGCTGAGGGAGATGAGCTTCAGAGACTCTGGGTTCCTGGTCCTGTCCCAGGGGAGCCCTGCTGGAGTGAGGAGAGCACAAGAGATGCTGGACTGGAAAAGTGAAGACTGGGCCTGTTGTAGCCCTGCACCTTGGAGGCCCCTCACTAGGCTTGGGTATTTGGCCTGTGAAATGGTTTATGTCCTTGCTAAGAGGACCTGGATTCACCCAAGTTTAAGGAGATTTAACTGACACCTTCAGGGTATGAGCGAGTCCTTCCAAGTCAAAGATCTGGTTAAGCACATGAGTTTTCACAGGCTCCTCTATTCCTGTCCCCTTTCCTTCCTGTCCTTTCACAGTACAGATAATAACCTGACACAGTGTAGACACTAACAAACTGCCTTCAGTAAAGCAAGAGACATTGTAGATTGTTGTGGTGCCTTGTGATTGAACTTCTGGAATTTTGTCAGGAACATGCGTCCAGGTAAGCACTGGGAGAGTGTGAGTGCTTATTTTCTGTCCTACTGTACAGCAGTGCCCCTGTGCCTCCCTGTCGAAAGCTGAACTAAGCAGCCAAGTGCAAATTCATTGTCTCTTCCCGCCCCAATGCCTGCTGCTGTCTCCCCATGTATTTGCCTATGTATTATAGTTTAATCTCCCAAATATGGCTTACTGTGCTAGTCAGTGTCCCCCAAATACCTCTCATCTCTGCTTCTGTGCTTCAAGTGCCTGATTACTGCGGCAGCCCATTTCCAACCCCGAGCTGTGTCTTTTCCTCTGATGTCCTCTCTCTCCCACTTCTTAAAGTGAATGCCTTTCTTAAAAAAAGTTCAAAGTTATGTTCATTTTAGAAATACTGAACAATCGTGAAAATAAGAGAAGAGTGCTTATCTGCAGGCCCATCATCCAGAGAAAACAACTGTTAGTTAATATTTTGTCATAGTTCCCCAGAATTTCCCATAAATATGTAGGTATGTATATATACATATATATGAAAATATACTTTAAAAATAAAATTAGGAAGATACTGAGTACTGAGTTTTGTGTTCCTATTTTTTCTATTCGTTTTATTATGAACATTTTATGTTATCAAATTCTTAAAAAAATCTCTAGTGGCTGCATCGCATTCAGTCATTGACTCCACCAGAATGTACTTGAACATTCTTCTGTGGTTGGACATGAAGATTATACAGTTTTTTGTCACTATAAACAGCGAACTCTGTGGTTGGTACCTTTATATCTAAACCTTTGTATCCCTTAAATTAGAGTCCTATAAACTGCAGTGTGGGCTCAGGACAACCAAGGCATTTTTAAGGCTCTTAATTCATGTTACCTACTTTCTTTGCAGGAAGGTCATTTATTCCAGTCTCCCCTAGAAGTGTGTAACACTTCTTCACCAGCTCAGTGACTCTTCTGAAACTGAACCTGATTGTGACCTCCAGGGCCACAACATAAAGCCCACACCCCTGTCAGGGGCACCTAGGACCCGATGGCTGATCCTTGACCAGCCTTGGCCAACCTTCCCTTGGGAGTAGTCAGAAAGCTTTGAGAGTGACTGGGAGCCACTGAGGGTGGTGATGCCTTATCTTCTGGCTCTGTGCTGCCCTACACAAAGAGCAGACAGAAGGCATGGGAGGGAAGGTAGGAGCTCATGCTGAGTTGGGTCAGTCTTCTGTCAGTGGACAGGAGGGCTAGGCTCTTGCTGAGAACAAGCCCAGATCTCCCACTGTACAGAGGCCACCGAGGCCAGAGCAGGGAAGAGAGTAACGTGCTTTAGGACTCCAGGTCTGAGTTCTCAGAAAGGAAGGCTGCAGATAGGCTGAGAACTGGGCAGGGGCAGCTATGGAAGCATCCCAGAGATGGGGTGAGGAGGGATAGAGCAGCCCCCAAATCCAGATGAGGCAGGCAACCCTGGAATTTGTAGCTGTTCCTGCTGCTAAGGGGGAAATGGGATGTTCTTACTTACTGCTGTGTCCCAGGGCCGTATGGGTCTGAGGTTCTTGAACTCTGGCCTCATTGCTGCCTCCACTGTGACCTACAGAGGGGAGAGGCTTTGCCTGTCATCTGAAGACTCCATCCCAGCTCTGCTCAGATTTGGGGATGAATCCAGACCCTGCCATTACCATTCTGAAGTTGCCATGTTCATGTATTTCTGAAACTTGTGCAGGACCTGATATTGAGTAGTTCTGGATACCAGGACAGAAGTGGAATGGGACACTCTGTGCTTCTGGATCACAGGAGGGGCACAGCGAGAAGGGTGAAGTGGGGTAGCTCCCTGCAGATGACATGGGGCCGAGCCTGAAAGGTTGGGTGGTTCTTTGACACATGATGTGGGAGGAGCTGCTGTGTGTGGGGAATTCCAGAGCTGGGCAGTACAGGGAAGGGCAAGATTGTGGGGCAGAAGACCGGGGAATTGGTCAAGCAGGGCCAACTGTAAGAGGCTCAAGTGCCCCTGCAGAAGTGTGCTACTGTGTCCTGGGGCAGTGGGGAGCAGTTTATGAGTTTCAGTGGGAAGGAGGTGCACTCCCATGTGCTGTTCAAGATGGTTCCTCTGAATGCTGTCTGGAACATAAATTGGAAGGAGGAATAAGACCAGAGTCTTGGGAGCAGCCAGGCGGGTGCCTTGAGGGCCCAGGGAGGGAGGCTTTTGGGCCTGTGGCTACAGTAGGACAAAGAGCAGAGGGGAATCCATGAGCTATTGGTAGCAGAATTGGTGGAATCCTGGGATGAAGTCACCTGTAGCCCTGAGTTCTGCACCACACTGACACTGGCAGTGAGGGCCTCAGCTCCTTTGCAGAGCCTGCCCTCCCTCACCTGCAGGCTTGTCTGCTGCCGCATGCCTTCTTGACAGCGTCCTTCACCTCCTTGTTCCTCAGGCTGTAAATGACAGGGTTTAGCATGGGCGTGACCACAGCATAGAGGACTGTGAAGACCTCATCGGAGATGTGGGCCTCCTTGCTCTTGGGTTTCATGTACATGAAGATGACGGTGCTATAGAAAAGCAGCACCACCGCCAAGTGCGCTGAACAGGTGGAGAAGGCTTTGCGACGCCCTGCAGCTGAGGGCACCCTCAAGATGGTGACCAGAATGAGTGTGTAGGACAGGCAGATGAGGGCCAGGGGCACAGGCAGCAGCAGGACTGCCCCCACTAGCAGGAAGGCCTCGCTGACTGACGTGTCGCCGCAGGCCAGTTTCAGCACTGCTAGGATTTCACAGGTGAAGTGACTGACCACGCGGTGGCCACAGAAGGGCAGCTTCATGGCGATGACTGTCTCACTCACTGACTTGATGAGACAAAACACCCAAGCGGCTCCCGCCAGCAGCAAGCACAGCTGGTGGCTCATGAGCACAGGGTACCTGAGTGGCTGGCAAATGGCTAGGTAGCGGTCATAGGCCATGATGGCCAGCAGTAGGCACTCTGTGGAGCCTGTGGACAGGCTCAGGCACATCTGGATGGCGCAGCCAATAAAGGAGATGGTCTTCTGGGACGACAAGAGGTGCACCAGCATCAGGGGCACAAAGGTGGATGTGTAGCAGATGTCCAAGACGGAGAGGTTGCCCAGGAAGAAGTACATGGGCGTGTGCAGGCGGACATCCAGCACGCTCACAGCCATGATGGCCGCGTTCCCCAGCAGGGTAACCAGGTACATGGCCGAGCACAGAGGGAAGAGCAGGCGCTCCAGAGCTGGGTAGCCTGAGAATCCCTTCAGGAAGAACTCAGAGACCACTGTCCCGTTGATGGGCTCCATGCTGCAAGCTCTGCAGGGTTGCCCAGCTTGTATAGAAGGAGTGAGGGTACAGGAGTGGCAGCTCCCAGAGCCCTTCTGAGACTCGAGGGATTGCCAGAGTCTGTGCCAGCTCACGCATATGCTCTCTCTCTGTGATTTTAGGGTTTTCCCATCACCCTCTCTGGGCCTCAGTTTATTCATGTGAAAAATTAGGATTGATGCGGATCATTTCCCTGAAAGAAGTATGAACAGGCAATCTGAAAATCAGTTTGAGGTGATGCTGGGTTAATAATTAACAGTCCTCTTTACTGCAGGACTTCTCAGAACTTTGAGTATGTTAATATGATCTGTGATTTTTAAAAATGCGTGCTTCTATATTTCTTTGACCCTGGTCTCCCTTTTACAGACTACCACTTAACCCACTGCAGATAAGTGATCTGTGGACATAGTTTGGGAACCAGTGGTTTCTATCAGAAATCCTCAGATTTTCACATGTACCAGAGTCACCTGGAAAGTATTAAAACACAGATTGCTGCCTCTATTCCCAAAGCTTCCGACTCAGTAGATCACAGTGATGCTTTGTTGGCCTAGGTACTGTGCTTTCAGAACCTCTGGCTAGATGGTCTGAGGGTCCTCCTGGCCCTGAAACAGCCATGGAGTCACTGCTTAAACTGTACCCGTTGTCTGGAAAGCCCTTCTCCACTGTCCCTCGGCTGCAGAAGCCTTGTGTCTTTTTAGGCCAGCTCTGGTCCCCATGCGGAAAGTATAAACTGAATCTGCCCCGGAGAGGCCACCCGGCCTCTACCCCTGTCTGTGGATGCAGCCCTTGTCCCCACACAGCCCTGTTAACTACTTGTGGGTTGGACCTTCAGATTTGGAAGCCTTTGCTGTGGGCTTTCCAGCTAAAGCTGATGGATCTTTTGACCCAGCCTTAGTTTCTAATTTCTCTGGTGCAGAGGCAGGGGTGCTTTGACTTTATGAACTCCAAGAACGTTAGCAAAAAAATGCCCTAAGAGGTCAACTTATTGGATCTCCCATAGTTTGCACATTAGGAAACTGGGTCTGTGGATAGTGAACCTTGAATTTGGTCTTCCGGCATCATGACGTCTACACATAGCATGCTCAGGATGGATTTTTACTTTCAGAAAGCCGCACTCTGCCTGCTCCTATTACTCTAGATAGATGTCCTTTTCCCAAGTCCTCCCCACAGTCTTCTCAGCAGCTAAAGAGCAGAATCCAACCTCTCCTTGGTATCTGGCATGGCGTCATGGATCATGGTGCATACATTGCCATAGCCTGGGCCCCGCCGAGCACCAGTTCCCCTCAGTGCACACTTGCATGAGTCTCTTTCCTCCTTTTATTCTTCCCTCCTTTTTTATTCCAAAGTCAAGAAGAAATTGAAGACCTACAACACACCAGACATTGTGTTAGGCCTGGCGGGAGCAAGCGAGGACAAGTGTGCCCCCAGGCCGCTTACTCTAAGCCCTTCTCAGGCAGAATCCGCTCCACTTTCCACACCTGGTCTTGTCTGCTTCTGGGTGCGCATCTCTGGTGACAGGAAGCTCATTAATAACTTCCCTCCCCTCCCCTCCCTTCCCCTCCTCTCCTCTCCCTTCCCTCCCCTCTCTTTTCCTCTCCTCTCCTCTCTCTTGTCCTCTCCCTTTCCTTCCTCTTACTTCTTCTCCATCCCCCTCCCTCTTCTCCTTCTCTGTGCTCTTATTTCCTCTCCTCTCTCTCTTTCTTCTAAGAATTGACCTTTGCATTGAGTTACATCCTCAGCCCCCTTTTGGGTCTTGCTAAATGGCTAAGTCGCTCAGGCTGGGCTTGAACTTGCAATCTGCCTGTTTTAGCCTCCCAGGATGCTGGGATTACATGTATGTGCCAACATGCCCAGCTACTTTCCTTCCTTTCTTTTTGCTGACAGGCACTTCAAGGGTCTCATTGGAGTTCTAAGTGTCCAGGCAGGGTGGTTTCTGTAGGTGCTCTTTCCTTGTGCACAGTAGGAACACAGGGCACTGTGCTTAGCCCTATGCATTGAGCCTTACCTCAGGGAATCAAGGGCTACTTCTGGAGCACAGTCTAGTCTTGGGGTTCAGATAGAAGCACTCAACTTGGCTGTTTAAAGCCTCTTTGGGATCAGGGGTAGTGTGAACTGTGAGCTCCTCTGTGGGAAACTCTGAGGCTGATTTCCTATGTCAGGCAGGAGGCAGGAGTGAGACACAGAGATGGCATGGCATTTTCCCTGCAGCTCCAGTGACTAGGATTGGCTGTACTCTCCTTGCAAGTTTCCACATGTATGTATT